TTGGAGTTAGGAGATCGACGGAGATAGATCAGACTTTCTTTTCACATAAGATTGTTCCAGTTACGTAACATTGCAGCTTCTCTAAGCCACAAAGACAGGATCAGACGTAAGTTCCAGCCTATTGTAATTAGTTTCGTTTTCCTTTCGATTTCGCTTATATTGTAAGCCTCAGCCCATTTTTAATCTTGTATATTGCAATTTCCTCTTTTTAGTTTTCACTGCATGGGTATGATATTCAGACGATAGCATTAAACGTTGATCGATCAACTTGTGTTGTCGATTCTTACACAGCGGTTGACACTCCCCGAAATCCAGTGTACAACACCCCGTGTCTGCTGCATTGGGTACGCGACAGCATTCAGTCAAACTTTTTAGTAGATTTGAACTTTGCCCCGTGGTTTAACTCCTACCTCAATCCAAGCTGTTATTCCATTGTGAACCGCTGCCGAATTTCCACTTTCTGAGGTGCTGTGATTGGCTGTGATTAAAACTGATGGTGTCACGTTGTAGCTCCTTGTAAAATGCACAAACTATTACTCGAAAGTAAAATAAAAACTATCAGAATAGTTTTAAGAAACTCGAGGGAGCATCTTAAGAATAATCAGTTAAATTTATTTATCTATCAAACTGTTCTAGAATCTCGTTTGTGGCCTCCAATTTCTTTTTTTTTTTTTTCCTCATCAAAATTATCATAGACATTACCTCACAATAGGCATTGTTGCTTTCGTCTGATGGCTGCTTCGTGTTTGGAAACTTTACAGAGCCATACTCAGTGAAGAGAGGTTTGCGCAGCTTAGAAAATGCCAACCAACCCTAAAAAAGAGAAAGTGTCTAAATTATAGCTAGCTTTAAAAATGCTGGATAGTTTGTGAATTGCTTTTCGATTTAATATCGTAAAATAGAACGCTTGGTGATAACAACACTGAATTAGAACAAAGTAAATGATAAAAAAGTTATCGGAAACTGACCACGTATATGTCTTCGTGTTTTCCATCAAAGTTTTGCATTTCACGGAGGCAAACTTTAAATGAGGTTTTGGTTGTATCCTCTGTCCATATCAAAGCAGCATCGTACTTTTTTCCAGTCTTTACGTGTTCAGCCGTCACAAGAGTTACTGGATCTTCCTTAAACATGTCCTACCACGAAAGAATCAGAATATGATTCTTTTTTATAATTACGTACGCCTTTGATTCTTCTCAGGGATGGCAACCTTCGATAGATAGAAGTATTTTTAGGGAAGGGATCCCTAAAGGTAACATTCTCGCGTTTCTATCTAAAATAAACGTTGCCTTCGAAAGTAAATTCTAAGAGGTCTGGTCCAATGACATCCCGTCGTCAGTTCGCTTGACAGTATGTTTGAGGCTCTTAACCAATTAAAAAACGCTAAGGACGATGACCAGTAAACAACATCGTGATTCAGAGAAATGTCAGTGTTTTGGAACCTACGGACTCTATCTTACCTTAGGAAAGGTCACATCTTCGCATTTGGTCCCAGACCACCATTTTTGAACCTTAATTTTTCCACCCACCGCATTTATCGGTGCTCCTTGGTAGGCCATCCAGTCCACAGTCGCAAATGGGTTAAAGTTGTTTCCATTCCTTCCGGCTTGCATAGCGCAGACTGTGAAATTTTGAGTGTTGACGTTTTCTGTCCATAAAGTGATTGCGTGATGTACTGTCACGGAGTCATTTAGGTTGATGTGGTTCACAGTAAGTTGAACGTGGACGTCTTTGTTTGGGTAAAATCGGTATGGCGGGAAAATGACTGTCTTACAGCCTGACTCAGACCATTTTGGAACGTGAAGGAGTTCAACACGGCCGCGCAGGAATGGAAAACCTGGTAATGAGCATCAAAAAAGGATTGCGTTATTCCTCGTAAATATTGTCTTTTCGCTATGGTAGAAGAGAGTAGGAATGAATAAATGAGTGAGTGAGTGAATGAAAGAGGGAAGGAAGGAAAGAAATAAGAACGGAATGTTGTAATGACCGTCTGACCAAATGAACCAAAGAACGAACGAACAAAGTGATGAATGAAATATAAAGTAACAAAGCACATACCCTCACAGCTTCCTGGATGGTACATCGTATTATTGTCCAGTCCCCTGCAGTAGCTCAACTTATACCGACATTCATTGTCGTACGTTGTTCCGTTTGCGCTACACACCGGATCTTGATAGGACGGACAACTGTCATTACACACACAGCGAGCTTCGTGGGCGCTGTAAGTTTTGCAAACTCCAAAAGATGGGCAGTAAACGCCAAGGCATGGATCTATGTCTGATATATATTTAGAAGGTAGTTAGAAGTTTATTCGATTGAACATAGTGTCCAGCAAACAGCGAAGTTCTACATTTTTCACCTTAAAAATGTCGGAATGGGGAGTGCGAAGTGGAATATGAGAAGGAGAAGTCTAGGTTGGGCATTCATGTCTCTTATATGGAAGGAAGGTGGGGCAAAATCTCTTTTAAGTCCAAAACTTATTTCAGCTTGTCTTAGAGTAGGATGAAATATAGATTGAGTGTAGATCATTATTGTCGCCTAAGCACTAACCTCCAATCACGACATAGCTCACGGAAAGTGGATCATGTTTACTCCCAGCTCCGCTTAAGTCTTTAACACAAATCGTCATAGATGTTAGACCGACTTCCTGTGAAGGGCAAAATCTTGTAAATAAGCGTCATGTAACATAATTTGATTTTTGCACACCTTTACAGGCGTGTTGTTATCAAGTCAGAGGTTATGTGATATCTCCCATCATAAGCAGGAAACTGAAGAGCCTTCAATCAGCCAAATAAAAATCAAGTGACAGGAAAGATAAAATCATCTACAAACCTATGCGATCCTAATTTTCTAGTAAGGTAAAAAAAAATGTGTACCGCATTTTATTACTGGTTCAGCTCCAAAAATCTGAAACAAATAAGAAGCCTACCTCGACCCATGCTGTAACAATATTATTTTCTGGGGAACTGGAACTCTTCCCACTGACTTGAGGGTTGTAGAAGTGATGGACAGAAATAAGAACAATTGGTGATGCATAAAAGGTGGTGTTGAAGTGCACTTTCTGCGGAGGAAAAAGGATCAGTAATGTAGCATTACCTTGAAGGGTATCCCAGAATGAAAGAGATGAGACTTTCGGCAAAAGATAGGACAAGGTAATATTTTTAACTTAAAAAAACTTCCAGCCCTCTTCTTCTATACAGATTTTGCCAAGCCTCAATGCAAATTTGAGTTGCTAATTACACACACACACGCGCACATACAAAGAACAGTTTTGCGTATGGACGGTAGCAATCTTGTAACGACCCAATTTTTTTCTGCTTAGTAAGTTACCATATTTTCTTAGCTATGAGGCTCCGCTAACGTGCCTCGCGCGTAAAAGCTTCGCCACTATTTTCGTTCTTCAAAGGGCGAAAAGAGCAGCTTCATGTGAAAATAGACAAGTAATTCGAGTTTCCGATGATAAAGATTAAATTAAAGTAAAATTTAAAAAAAACTGGAACAGAAATCGCAACACTCACCTGGCAGAAACCATAGTTATTTTCAACTTTAGGGATGCCACTATTTGGGAAATTCACTTCACCTGCTCTCGAGAAGTTGAACTCAGAACCATTACCAGTGAACGCAAACCAGTCCTGCATGTAAAATGTGCGAGTGTGAGACACAATGTGTCGGAAGTTTCAATCATGTGCGTTGCGCATGCTTTGAGCTTCGAGTATTGAGTTAAAAGTTTCACGGTTTGAGTTTTGGATTTGGAGGTTCGAGTTTCGAGTTAGATGTTGCGATTTTGGAGTTGGAAGAGGCGCGATACAAATAAAAATGTAAATTAAGTTAACTTACCACAACTGTGTCTTGATGTTTCCCGTCAAACGGTAAGAATTCACGTATGCAAACCTCGAAACTTTTAGAACTGACATTTTCTAACCAAACGTACATGGCATCATCTGGCTTTGTGTCTCGTGTATACTTTGCTGACACAAAGACGTGAGGTGTTCCAACAAATCCCTAGAATGCGTCAATATCATAATGAAAGGCACTTCAGATATTTACCGTGAAAACTGGTTTTTATTTTCGATACAATAAACCCCGTTTTTCTGAGCGGTATTTTCAATGCGCGGATATTTAGCCCTGTTTTACTTAACAGGGACAATTGTTTTACCTATCTGGAACAATTTTTTCGTACTTTGATACATAAACATATCTTGATCTATGAAAACAAATAAATTGAAACGTCGAGTAATGTCAAGTCAGCTTTGTGTTAGCAAGACTGATAACCCTGATTCACCACACTGATTGACCTTGTCCTGGTAAGTTTGGTAGATAATAATCATATGAAAACAGCTTTCAAAAGGAACAAAAGGAAACGTTTCGCAACTCGTATTAGTTGCAAATCGACCTAATTGAAGTCTTAAGCAAAAAAAAAAAAATCAAATCTGCCATCAAGTGTCATTTTTTACTAAAGTTTTTGCAAGACCACATCAGCGAAACACCTACCAAGAGCGTGACTCAGAACGAAAAAAAAACACGCAGTGTACTTCTTGGCCTTTTTTTTTTCATCTAACCTGAGATAAATTTATCTTGTCGCATTTTGTTTCCGTTGTCCATATTCCGCTAAAAGTAACGCTACCACGCGTCATTTGTGGATGACCTTGGAAAGCCAACCAGTTGATAATTCCTGTTCCATTTGATCCAATGCCTGACTCACGTGCACACACCTCAAAGCCACGTGTGGTGACGGACTGAACCCACACAGCTGAGGGCGAATGGACACGCGAAAACTTCTCATCATGGCTAATCGTCACATAAACTTGGACCTACATTGAAGACATTGTGATAAATACATTATTACGTACTCTTTTCTCAGTTTTTTAAACGCTGTTAACTAAGTCAAAGTGAGAATCATGCCAGTTTTCAATCTCGCGCAAATTAAGAAAAAAACTCACCGATAACAAAAGTTGTACGTTCATGACCCTAAGGTTGTGGTACACCTTGTGAATATGCTCTCCTTCAAGCTCCCTTAGCTTTCACTCTACGGTCTCCTCTTTGTCTATACCACATTCTACAACTACTCTTTCCACCCGCCTATTACCTTGATCGATCCTCAAACCCTCCCCCTCCCCCCCTGTCCCCCGCATGCTTGTTTCACACTTACCCTCCCTGATCCACTAAAAGCAGTAGGGAACACAACGTTCGTACAGCGCGGCAACCGACAGTGAAAAGAAGGCGTACACCCACTGCTACAGCTCCAGTCCTGTAAGGTCTTTGATGTATTCAGATTTCCAGCTTGGAAGGGAATTCCTGATTAATGAAAGAGATGACTCTGTTCAGATACTGACTGTGGTGGGGGAGACGATAGTGACGGGGAAGATTGAGTGTTTGGAGGAAGGGAAGAGTCAGGTATGGACTCTTGATGCTTAGGCTGCTAACCTTATTTCGCGCCATAATGTTCGTTTTCTTCTCCTTTCCTGACTGTAACATTAAATGGACTTACCCTACCATACATTTCACAGGGGGCTTTTCAAATTTGTTCTCGGGGTTTTACCTAATCCCATAAGGCATAAGTGGCCATCCTCACTTAGAATTGCACTAAGTTTGTTGGTCCTAACACAGTTATGTCAAAAGAGTCTTTGACGAATTAGCCTGAAGAACCCGTTCCTCCCCTCGCGCGTGACTCGCACTTCAAGCTCACCTCGCGCTTGCCTCCGTTCGCCCGAAAACGCAAAAAAATCACACCGGTCCTGCAGGCTATTGATGGATGTGTAGATACAGTAAACTCATCTGAATGTTGCGTTTATTGATAAATCCAGCCTGTTCCAATGCCACACAATGATTGATTTGTATACAAATGAAATACAATGTGTCACGCAAGACTTTGTTTATCAGTGTTCAATCGATCCACTTTTTCAGATTACTTAACTGAGAGTGCATTCAACTTTCCTACATAAAAAATCTGCAGAGCAGTGACATTCCCAAAGAATTCGAAGCACATTTCTGCTATATAGAAATTTTTTTCCATTTTGCTTTGATGTGATTCGTTTCACCCGGAAGTGATTTCCCGATTATGTATCAAAGACTGGATTCGAGAAACGGACTGCTCAAAGAAGGAAAACGAATATACCTAACCTGAATCAAAATTGGTTCATCGTCTCGTGTCAAGCTGTGGATAACGTTTTAATTTACAGAGTAGAATTGCATTTCACCTTGAACAGTTGCAATTAATTGTCATGCCATTCATTTCGATGGTGATTCGATCCCAAAAGGGACGCGTACCCAATTGTCAAGAAAGACTTCGTACGAGAGCCGAGAACTCGACTTTTGAAATTTATTCATGGCACCCATCGGCTGATTGTTTTGATGAAAAAACCGCAGCCTTCAATTTATGCGATAAAACAATTCTTACACCTGAAAGCATTTTCCTCTTCTTTAGTCAAATCGATTTAAAACGCACATAGAGAAGCTATTGAAGAAGGTTATTAGAAATATGTTTCGGACAACGAAAGGAAGGAATTAACGAATTTCATATTCATCCATCGCGCGCGGGTATTTTGACTTTCCACTTCAGAGACAATTTAATTTTCTTGGACCTCTATGCAGCTTAACAGACGCAATATCAAGGACTGTTTAAGGCAGTACGTATCAGAAACAAGGATCGAATTCTGAATTACATCTATGGGCATTTGAAAAAGGATGTATTTTCTTTGCTTAAATTATCGAATGCATTTCTTAGGAACTCCAAAGACACAAAGAGTATTTTAATGGCTTCTGTTTTACGATTTATCTTGATGGAATTTACCTCATGAGGGGGCGTATCCCCTGATTTTTGGAAATCCTCCAAAGCATCATTTATATTCGTGGAAATAAAAAAATTCTCGAACAACAAATATTTCTAACGAATTGCAAACAATACAGGTCTTATCAAAGGAAATTAGTGCTTGTTAAACCGCGTTGTTAGTGCAAAAATCCGGGTCGTTGCCCAGGCAAGTTTTCAACCACTGCCTTCGATACCTCACCCCAATAATGGGCCCCTTCTTAGGATGAGTCTGAAGGTAGAATCGGTGGACAGATTCGTGGGCCTCGATTTTTGCTAAGTTTGACGGTTTTGGCAAATTGAACCTCCTCACTCTTAATCATAATGTCACCATGCAAAAACTAAAAGTACGCCTAGTTAAACACGATGAAAGTTTTTATCCTAATCTCACCTTGAGCAGAAAACGGAAAGCCTCCAAGAATGGTGAACAATAACAACTCCCATAGGAAAGGTCTAGATATAGTATTCGTGGCCATATTTGATGATTCTCTCATCCTAGTCTAAAGAACTCTAAAGCGAAAGTGCCTTGATGCCTAGTGCGCTTCTGAAGATATGAAAACTATCCGTGCAAGCTTTTAAGCTGGCTGGTTTCATTTTCATATGTAAGCATGCACCACGTCTTTACTGTCAATTTCCAATTATTTTAAAAGGTTTTGACCAGAAGGGGTATGAGGTCAAGATGACTTTTGTTTTTTTTGCTCTTTTTGTTTATTTATTTTCGTTGTAGCATTGTTTTCTATTCTTTTCGGGTGAGAGTAATGTACCTAAAGGTTATCAGATACGACCTCCCTTCAGCACCGATTGGTTAGTTTTAGAGTCAGCGGTATATCAGCGGTTATAACCAAACTAAATCACTATATGACTGTTACACCACACAAATTGTGAAGTCGCCATATTGAAAACTGCATTGTCATTTCACATTGAACGAACTAAATTTTTTTCTTTCCTTAAGATGGACAGAATATTACGGTTAGGATCTGGTGGTATTCCTGGGGTCGGGCAGGTTTGTTTATTTATTGATACGTACGCTTCATAACGAGACACAACGATGTTTAAAAACCTTCACAAATTCTCCTTCAACACGTTGAAACAATAATTTTTAACAAAGTTTGATTTGACCCACTTCCCTCAGTTGTATCCGGTGAAAATACGTTTTTTGTATAAAGTATGCTATTAGGACATAATTAAGGATCGTATTCTAAGCTTAACTGTACTTAAATTGACGGATGTAACCTTGGGAGTCTTCTCTCTGAAGATGATTTCCGCTCAGGTTGTAGAAATGCGGTGAAAACGCCGGTCTCTGACACTAACAACTGTGTTTTTCACACTACTCTCTTCATCCGGACGTTCACCATGCATCTTTCAATGTTGTACTCGTGTTTAAACCGTTTACAATCTTACAAGTCAGTTTCGGGGCAACAATTCAAAGTTAATTAGCTTTATTGACAAGAGATTCTACTTACTGTAATCAAACAACGAACTACATTTAATTGGAGGAACCAGCAGAGCTAGAGGAACGAGGTCGTGTTGTTTAAAACTAATTTTCAAATCGATCTAACTCAACCAAAATGAAGTGTAAGTGAATAATCTTGATTCCCACACTTAATCATATTTTAAGACATGTCAGAATACCTTTATCTCAGTTTCATGTGAATACGTGATGTGGAGATATCTGATGTGATCACATGTTCATTTTGACCTTAGGCTCCTCCAAGTGATGCACCAGTTGTTGATACTGCAGAACAAGTTTATATCTCTTCACTAGCTCTTCTTAAGGTATGATAATATTTTTTCACATGAAACTCACAACTGGCAACAAATTGTTTCACTTAGATACCATGTCACATACTTACATCCCCACTTGCCTTGTGGGTTGTTTTAGAATTACACCAAGTCATGTTCTGGCAATGTTTCAAGAATTTTATGATTTTAATGTTCATTTACAATTGTTGAAATTCTAACATTTTTCTTTCATTCAATTTACTTTTAATTCCTGAATGTACTCCTGGAAAGATGTTAAAACATGGTAAGTTATAATTTAATATGATACACTGTATATTGGTTAATTTCGGAGATGAAACCAATTCGATGACGTTTTCCACCCCTTAATTTAATTTATGACCCCTTAGGGTGACTAGCATCTAGTTTCTCCTCACATCATCAGCCCGAATTAAGGTCACAAAGGATAGAAAAAAGAACAAAGGTCACAAAAACTAAGGAAATGATCACCAGCGAAAGATGCATTTGATTGTTAAACAAAGTCTCCTTGTCAACATCCTTAAAAGATTATATTATGGACAGTATGGAGAATATGCATACTGATGTTGGGGTGTAAAGGGTTAACATATTACTTGGAGCAAGTAAAACTTGTGAATTGATAAGTTTCAATCTAACTTTTGTTGGGCTGTCACACATTGTACAGTTCAGTTAATGATTTGAAGAGTTCATGACAACAGTTGATGCTTTGGGCTTTTCAGTCTGCTTTTGTTAATGAGATAATTTCCATTTCTATTCTAATTTTTATATAAGTGGAATGTGTCTTCTGGGCTTTTGCCTTCTGCTAGTTGATAACAACAACATACCAGCTGGGACCTCTATTAAAAGAAGTGGATGAAACAAGAATTAGCCCATTTTCTCCATTTCTTCAGTCTGCTTTAAAAAAAAACTTGATGGAGAGGTTCTTGACAATGGAACATAAAGTTTCTGGCTAATAATGTACTGTATCATAATTTGAATTTTAATTTGAACCTGTAGAGAGATATTCATCCATCTACCATTAATTTTTTTAAAAATTAACTCTTACTTTTTCAGGCAGAGCAGGTGTTCCAATGGAAGTCATGGGTCTAATGTTGGGAGAATTTGTGGATGACTACACTGTGCGAGTGATCGATGTGTTTGCCATGCCGCAAAGTGGAACAGTAAGTTCACATTAAAAGTTGTTGGGAGAAAATTTAATCTCTAAGCCCCTTTGTTTTGAACTTTTTGCCTGGTATTTAGCAAATGTTTACCCAGTATCACTGCACACTAACCTGTAAAAGGCCTTGCAGTGCTTAATTATTTTTCTATAATTTGAGGTATTTATTTGTTATTTATTGACAGGGTGTGAGTGTGGAGGCTGTTGATCCTGTTTTTCAAGCTAAGATGTTGGACATGTTGAAGCAAACTGGCAGGTACACTGTCTGGTAGATCCTTTAGAACAGTAGACAATAGCTTGTCCATCTATAAAAGCAATGAATATCTACTTTAGATGGGATTTTATTTGTAAAGGTCTGTATCCCCAGACAGGGATGCTTGTAAAGATGAAAGTCTGCAGATAACTTTGTGAGGTTGAAGTTTGCAACTTATCTGCAAGTTTGCTTTAGGTGTGAGTAATTTGCTGTTAAAGCAATTGCAACCTACCTGCATTGATCATTTTTTTAGCTTTGTATATAAGTTGCAGATCAAAACATCATTCATTTCATTTCATTATGAGCAAAAAAAGTTTCTCTTAGAGATTAAAATGGAGGGGGACTGAGGATAGAGACATCACTCCTACAGAGAACCCCACCAATTATTGCTCAAATGCTTATTTGATTGTCTGCCATTCCTGAGAGCTTGGCACTGGCTAAAAATTAACCTCACGGCTGGCATTTTTCATGTAAATTCGTTAAATGTCATTGTATTTTTTCAGGCCAGAAATGGTGGTTGGCTGGTACCACTCTCATCCAGGCTTTGGCTGTTGGCTCTCAGGAGTTGATATCAACACTCAACAGGTGATTGATTTGGTATTGTGATTATTTCAATTAGTTGCAGTCTTCAATGAAGGACTGCTATTGAGGGTGTTGAATTGCCCTGGTTGTCAAATTGTCTTGTGGCACAATCAAGAATAGTTCTGTACAGTACTCCTCTCACTCTGGTGGTGGCATTGTGGCTGAGTGGTTAGGGTGAAGGACTTGTAATCTAGTGGCCCTGGGTTCAAGCTTCTGCCTTACAGTGTAGTTCAGCTCCTTTGCTGCACTTTATATCATGGCAACCAGTCTACTGCCTGCCAGTTGGGATTTTTAAAAACATTATGTTCATTCACATTGTTTGTTTCCAATTTGTTTTTATTGGCCTTGAGAACCCCATGGGGGGGGGGGGTGGTCAAATTAGTATACATATATACGTACGTTAGCTACCAAATTGCTTCCCTTTTGTTGTGTGTTTTTACTTTTTTTTGAATTTTATTGGAGGTTTGAAAAAGCATTCTTAATAAAAGTAGCAATCCCCGCATTGAGGTGACCCCCCTTAAAGGGTCAATCCCAAAAGTAGTGATCATTCCTTCCTCCCCTCCCCCTTCCCCCAAAAAAAAAAAAAACCGAAAAGAAAAAGAAAAAGAAAAAGAAAACGAGACTCCTGGAGATAAGCCACCCACGCTTATGAAACATGGTGACTCAGATCAAAAAAAGATTCTTTTCCAAACTTGTTATAAGTGTAAATGCAATTTTGTACCCATTTTTTTTTTATCTTTTTATTTCCACAGAGTTTTGAAGCACTCTCTGAAAGAGCTGTTGCAGTTGTTGTCGATCCCATTCAGAGTGTAAAAGGAAAGGTAAGAGTATTCCGGTTCACTCTGTGGAAGACAGTACAGACTCTTGTGAAAAAAATTTAGGTTGGGCAGCTTTCTTGGACAATTCATACTTGTGACACTGTGATAAGTTACATGTACGTGTGCTGTACAGCTGTGAAACGTGTATTTGCCCAGGAAAACGCCATTTACCAAACAATACTGGTACAACTTTGAAACGTGTATTTGCCCAGGAAAACGCCATTTACCCAGCAATACTGGTACACGTGTTTATATTTATTTTTTTTCGACCGCAGGTTGTTATAGATGCATTCCGTCTCATTAATCCGAACATGATGGTCCTTGGTCAGGAGTCGCGACAGACGACCTCAAATCTTGGACATTTACAGAAGCCTTCAATACAGGTATACTTGTTAAAAAATTAGGAAAGTAGATGAAATGTTGGAAATTCGTATTCACGAGTACCTGCATAGTCTGACCCATGTTCCTTTTGTTTCCTTTGTAGGCTCTGATACATGGTCTGAACAGACATTACTACTCAATCTCTATCAACTACAAAAAGAATGAACTTGAACAAAAGGTATTGAAACTTGTTGGAACCCACTGCCTTGAAATTGTTGAAAGTGCGCAATCATAGAAATGATCTTGCGATGTTTTCAAGCCTGTTAATTGAGGTGAAAAGATGATGTTTCAGTTGGTTACACAGGCATACTTGAGTGGAGTTCTCTTAGCAGAAATTCGAATCCGTAATCGGGGGGTTTTTCCGAGCATGTCTCGTCACTGACTGAAAGTACAAATGCTACGAACGGGAGCAGTTCTGGGCTTCTTGTCTCCTAACTCTCATTTCCTAGTGTTTTTTGTTGTTGTTGTTCTTCAGATGTTGTTGAATCTGCACAAGAAGACATGGATGGACGGTTTAACTTTGCAAGATTATGACGACCATTGCGCATTGAATCAGAAAACAGTTAAAGTAAGTTTAATCTCTAACATGCTTCACTTAACAAAATCGTTATAGCGAGTCAAAGCATAAACAATATATACTCCTCAGAATTGAACTGTTATTGGAATATTTCTCCGTGTGTAATTTTGCACGAATGTCTGGCTCTTCAAGAGATTCAACCAATTTCGTTCAACTGTGCAAGGGATAGATGTACTTCGTGTAAAAACTTCTCTCCCGAATGAAGGGCGAGCAGGCTTGTAGTTGACAAATTCGTTTGTATGTTGATAACCCTTACTGCTTCTTTCGTTGCTGTTGCGAGAGTTAAACGACGGCTGCATCATCACTCAGTTTACATCAACTAGTTGTAGAATAGTTCCGAGTTGACGGTATACAGTGTTGAAGCAGTTTTTTTAAATTTCATCCAGGAAATGTTGGAGCTTGTCAAGAGTTACCACAAGGTAAGATTACTATTCTAAAGTAGACTGTGAACAGACCCCTTCTTTTTGCGCCTAGACAAAAAGTTTTACATGAATTACTTTACTCTTTTTTTTGTTAGGCTGTAGAGGAGGAAGACAGTATGACTCCAGAACAACGGGCCATAAAAAATGTCGGAAAACAGGTTAGTTGTTACAGGATCTTTTGGTTTGGCCAGCTATGCCCCAAGCGCTGACGTTAGGGGCCCTTCACTTCAGAAAGAACTGGCTGACAAGGCACTGTTTCCGCGTTTTTATCTCGGGTCTGCTCTTTGATCTCCACTGAGCGCGAGCTCATTTTAAAGTTTAAGTGCATCATGATAGGGGACGCAATTTTGTGAAATCAAAATATCTTTCTTCCTTTCCTCTTTTAGGATCCCAAGCGGCATCTGGAAGAGAGCGTAGAAGTGATGATGACGTCAGACATCGTCCAGTGCCTCGGCGCCATGCTCAACTCGGTCGTCTTCTAAAGTTTTAGAACCAATCTGTGCTCTTGTATAATAATTAAACTAAAGCAAGAATGTATTCAAAGGAGTGATTGTCTTGACCAAACTTGTCTTAATAAAGCTTAAGGGAACGAGAGGTTTCTTCTCCCTTAGTTTTCTTGGGAAGTGGACAAAGACGCTCAAGTATCGACTTCGTGTACTAGACCCAGTCTTCCTTATACGGGTCAAAACATATCGGAGTTAGGTGGACCTCGTTACCAGTCTCATTTAAGCTGCGGGAAGAGAAGGCTGAGTAGAAATCTGAGAAATGACATTGGGTTCGTATTTGCAAAATAAAAAACGGAAACGAAAAATCACGAAGGTTTTGTTTTATTCATAGAAAAAGTCACAATAAGGCTACTTTGTTACAAAATTACTGCAATCCTACTTGAGTAAACTGTTTCATGTGATGTAGGGAGATACACTTACCCAATGCATCGGTGACGTGTGTTCATTAAGGCATCTGGAGCTCAAAGCCATGCTTCATATATCGCCCAGTGATACAATTCATGGGCTGATTCATAGTAAAGAATCTTTATGACGTGTGTTTTTGTATCTGCTCTTTCCACGCAGAAAACAACACCTAACATCTCAAACCCCTAGCTTTCACGAAGGGCTACCGCTCGAAACATCAGCCTGTAAACTCTTTACGGTGGCCAATTACGTTTTCAAATCAGTTGATAGTAATAAATTACCCTGTCAAACCTCTAGGTTTATTTATTAAACCTTCCTTCTAAAAAGCTTACCACTTCAGATACTCAAGATCTCGTAAATAATTTTCCTTTCAAGCTGCTCGAAAGCTTGACACTACGAACTCCACGATGTGATCAGTAATTCTTCCTTTCAGCTGCTTTTGTTATAAAATAGTAGGGAGAATTTGGTTTTAGAACAAGATAATAACCTCTAACTGATAAATTTTTCTTCTCCCGTCACCTGTTAATTGGATTATGATAGAAATCGCGAGAGATAACATGATACTCCCCTCAAATACAATTCCCCCACTTCTCTTCGTCCATTCGGCCCTTGAAATATTATGAGGTCGGGAAAACTGTTCCTTGATACTACTGCGAGGCACAACTAACTTCATCTTTGGCGTGAGAACCTCAGGAAGTGCGGCAGAAAACGAATCACCATATCCAAGGCTTTGCACGGCCCACAAAGATGAACACTTGTCTATAAATAGATTCGTTAAGGCACCTTTATCGAAAGCACCCCGATATATAGGATGGCTCTCAGCTAGAAGACTTTCATGCCACGGCAATGTCAACAAAGGAGGTCTCGGTAAAATCAAAGGGTTAATAAGAACCTTAATCCCGCTACAAAAGTAAAGCATAGTTTTTGTACGGGTCGTGTAGAACCTCACAAGTCTTTGAATTCTACGATAACATTTCCCGGCCTACAAAGTCATTTTAACATGATTTCCTCTCGAGGCTGGGACACAAGCTAACGCCGGAAAAAATTAAAATGACACTTTAGGACTACAACCACATCTTGCGGCTCGTAGGTCACATGCAAGTGACATTTTGATGATAATCCAACTTCGCAAAACAAAAACAAACGGCCCGCGTAAAGTATTAACCCTTTACAACCTAATATCAGTATGCATATTCTCCATAATTTTTTCCATACATTTCCTAAGGTGCTGACCAGGAGAATTTGTTCTGCAGTCAAGATCTTCTTTTATTGATCATTTCCATTATTCTCCTGACCTCGATGTATGATTCAAGGGTAATATTGTAAGTAGAAATTAGATGCTAATCACTCTTAGTGTCAAAGGGTTAAGAAGCTAAGGCACTTAAATTGCAAACTTTAAGTTCCCATGAAGCAATCCCACAATAACCTAAATGGAACACAAAGATATAAGTATCTTGACTAAAACACCCGAATCACGACTCTGCGACACTAACATCTTGATCATGAAGTTCCCAAACCGCAGTCACTCGAAAACCGAGGTAGAACACGACGACATAACTCAAATAACATCAAGACACTCAAGAATCGCATCACTGTAACTCTTGACGCCCTTTTGCCACCATATCACATCCCAGAGGAACTTCATAAACGACCCTCCGGTTCCCATGCAATAAACCTATGGAATCCAAGGGAAGACCGATGGACATATGTCTCACGACTTTCAGGCCAGTTTTAGTCACAAAAGAAAGGAACTCACTTTACTACAGCACTATAGGGTTCCCACAAGGCAATCTTAAAGAAAAAGAATCCGAATCTAGGAACAAAAGAATGATAGCACCTACCTGTGAATCTAGTGCTTTTCACGAGTGAGGGGATGATACGCAGAACTTAACCTATATGAATCTGCCACCGTTATTTCCATCCACATTCATTACTTCTGACAAGGAACCGTATGACAATATAATGACAACAAACGTGCAAAACGTGGAGATCTTGAATAAACGCTATGCTTTTCGTGCCCCTGTTGTGGACACAATCGATTCTTTGTGGCAACTATATTCACACTCGTGCGTGTTGCGTGCGTTTGAGGCAACATCCCGCACCAGTCCCTGACGGTAATCTTACCATCCTCTTGAGATTTACTAGACCCCTCTTCACGACCTACACACATCTACTTGATGGAGCTCCCCCAGAAATTCCTGGACAATCTAAGTAACAATCGCCTGGTTGAAGGAGCTTGGCAAGATCTTTGGCACAATTTTGCCAAGTGCAGCCAGAGGAATCACTCCTCTGCTCAGTGCTGCCCTAGAAAGACATGACGCGCCTTTCTCGATATTTGATCTTGCAGTACCCTACGATGACGTAACAGTCTCCCAGGAATACAACAACTACGACCTTGAAGTGCAGTGGCACTCATAAAATAACCCTACGACACCTATGTCATGACCCCACCACACCCATATTAACACCTCACGGTACCATGATATGAGACTACCACTACATGCTTTCCATGACCCAACCACACCCAAAATGTACGATCTGAGGTTTGTTAAGTGTAATATCAAAGCCTGACTGCAGCAAGTCTCTCTTGAAAGATCGTAAATTTTGAACTCCTTCATCGAATAATCTACTCCCATCAAACCATGTGTCACTTTCACATATGAACCTCGCATATGCCCTACCACTGCCATCGAGTTTACTGCAGCTCGGTGGCAGAGTCAAATAACGAAAATCCGAAGGTCTGAGGTTCCATTCTCTAATTTTCCTCTTTTTGCTACGCTTGTAGCCTAACGAATGGGATCGCGTATTTAAAACTCACTCATAACATGACCCTACGACCAATATAGAGAAATAACAGCACCAAAATACAAAAACCTAGAGAACACACATCGCACCCTTTAATACGACGCTGTCATTTACCACTGTACCTCCCGACCCATCTCACTCACATCACTTTTGGCAACTCACCCCAACAGAGAAACAAGCCATTTATTTCAAGGTCATTTAATATCTCGAAACTAAACAGAGAACCCTACAAGAGCGATCCTGTTTCAAGCAAAACCTTCCTATTAGGAAGAAGAATAAAACCTTACTACCAAAACCTGTCAAATACTGCATGTTGTTTCTTAACAAAGTAAGCTGTCAGTCAGTGCTTCAACATGTGCGACTCGTCCATGCGAAAACAACTAGGGTCAACGTACAATTTTTAAAACCAAATTGAAAGAAGCACTGTTCTCAGCCAAGAACGTATCGACAAAATCCTCAAGTAACTTCAAAATCACGTTGTACAAATGGGGAGAAGACAATTTGCCAATCATCAAAGACAAACTGTAGGACCTAGGTGACAAAGATGAACACGTCCAAATGCTAGTTAATCAAAAGTAGGGGGAAAACGACAATTAAAAGAGTAATCCTGATAAAACAACCGAGTAGTTTCAACTCCAATCCTTCCTCGGGGAGCCTTTGTAAACTTTTAGCAAACACTCCACATCTGTACCGGTTTGAACAACTTTTTTTCACAGATTTACAGACCACCTCTGGAAGGCAAACTGGACTGACGAAAAGGAGAATTTGGTCGCGGATGCAATAACTCCAAAGAAGAGAATTAACAACATGAACTGCTGGTCCAAAAGAAGACAAATACATCAGAAGTTCACTCCAGAAAGCCTTCGAGCCCAGCTTCACGTTCCCTTTCAGCCCAACCTATCCATCCTCACATCAAGTTCGCGACCATCAACCATCGCTCCATTGAACATACCTGAACCGAAGTCAAGGAATAAGCTTGAAGCGCGTAGGTTTTAGTTATGTCTAAAACCAAAACCAAATTAATCACAGCATCCAATCAAATCAATGTTACTGTTACAAGGAGCCAATGAAAACACATGAATGCTTTGGAAAACGAAAATCATTGAGGCGCGACTGCCATGAGTTTTATGTTGTTTGAAAAGAAAATGAAAGATTTCTTCTCCAGTCACTACGTAAAGCTTCGGATTTTGCTTCAGTAAGTTGCAAAAGTTTGGGGCGAATGTTATCCTTTTTGAAGCAACAGACATAACGCTTTCTTTCCATTTTGCCCCCTGACCGACCTTTACAAGAGATGACCTCGAAAACCGAATCATACATTATAAATGCAAACCTTTAAGAGAGAGCAGGTACTATAATTAATCAAGCGACTTCTTTGTTAACATAAAAACACTTTTTTCACTTTCAAAGGATACTTATTGCATGAGCAGCGTCCTCTGGGGCATCAAACAGTACTGTTCCACAGCCCTTTGATCTTCCACTGGACTCTGTCATGATGTCGGCTCGAACCACTCTTCCTGTGGGCAAAAAAACCTGTTTTAGACCATGATGTGGCATTTTCATATTGCATTTCACCCATGTTATTATGCTCTGATGCGCTTTGGAATTTGGCCAATCCCACTGAGCAGTTTACGATTTTGACAGGAAATTTTTTCAGTTACCGCCAGTTTTGAAGACAAGACTAGACCACAAAACCGGGAGATAAGTTCTTTACTATTTGCGAGAAGAACGTGGGTTTTTCAATTTCCCCTGGACAATATTTGCAGTTGTCATTGCAAAGGCTGCACACTCTCCTCAGTTATGTTAAGAACCTGAGTGTTGGTCCCGTCTGGGGCTTGAACCCTCGGCCTCCCGCACGGCAGTCCGGCGCTCTACAACCTGAGCTAGTCCATCTCGGCTTATCCCCACCCACCCCGACTCCCTTCAGTATGTTATCAATTTTCTCTGACAGGTCACTAAAAGCCAATTCTACTGTGATAAGAAAGGCACCGTAAGAGTCAAGAGCCTTGCCCAGTAACACGACAAAATTACCCGCTCAGGCCTTATGCTCGGAACCATTGAATCACATTTCAGCACAATAACCACTCGGTCACTTCTTGTTCGCGTCCTGTATGTAATGCCAACTATTTTTCAAAATTATATCATAACATCACCTGCTCCTTTGAACTTGTCTTTCAAGTCTTGCCAAGTGTAGCGCCAAGGAAGCTGTGGAAATTTCAAAGTCAAATTGAAGGAATACAATTAAAATCATCTTTCATGCTACAAGAAGAGCAATCTTATGAGCGAAAAAAACTCATGGACGTGTATTCTGATAATTCATAGTAAGGTGTGGTGAAGGTGAAGACAAGACAGACTTTTAATGAGACATTCATGGTCTAAAGTTATACTTTTTCAGCCAAACCCTCTTTATCCAATTTAACAATTTATATCTTAGATTCAGTTACTTACATTCCTGACAAAGACTTGTCTTCCTGAAGCTCCACTGTCGCTATGGAGTGATGAGCCAAGCCCACCCATTCCACTACTGCTGCCACTGCCACTAGCACCTCCTCCGCCAAAACCAAGAGTGTTGCCCAGCATTCCCAATCCACTCAGAGCAGCCAGGGGGTTAGTAGCAGGGGAATCACCCATACCACCAGAACCTCCTCCCCCTCCACCAAAACCACCACCCGAAGCCAAACCACTGCCGCCCAATGCACCAAGATTACTGGTCAACTGTGCCAGGGTACTAAGACCCTGAAGACTCTGAAGCAGTTGAAGAACTGCCATGGGGTTCATGTTGTTTCCTCCCCCTCCTCCTCCTCCTCCTCCACGACCCATATTTGCATTGTTCACACCCAAGTTACTCAGCTGCTGCATAATGGGTGCATTGCGATCCTTGAGGGGAAAAAAATGGATTTTCATTCTGTTGTGGCTGCGAGGAAAGTGCTTAAGTATTAATTTGAGAATGATTTCTAAGCCTGCCAGAGCTCAATGCAATATCTAAGCTGCTAAACACTGAGCTTTAATTTTCATGAACTGGATGCTAGTCAATCATCAATCACAGTTACCCCCCTTCCCCCCACCCCCCTCCAACACACACCATGTTCCTACAAAATTTTCAATGAAGTAAATGCATGAAAATAAATGAACAAATAGAACAAAGAAATAGAGCATATATTTACATTGAAATCCAAAACAAGTTTCAGGTCAAAAGGATTTAAAACAAGTTCAATTTTTTTCATTTGTTCCTGGTACAAATTACTTTAGCTCTATAACAAAGAAAAACTAAAAATCATTTTTTTTACCTTACTCAAATGTTAAATCATTTTGGCCCTTCCAATCCCAAGAACTAACAATCAATTCTTTACATTGCCTGCCATACATTTCTCAAAGAAAGGATTTGGTGTTAAACCAGAAAATACGTTTTCATCACCTTTCTTCTCTCAAATTTTTAGCTAAAGTTAGGAGACATTCCTTGCTGGTAACCTTAAACAGATACATCCTCCCATATAAGTCAAGGAACCACTCGTTGTCAAAATAATGCAATAAACAAGTGAATAAATGAATAAAGCTAATGGTTCAAGGCTCCTTAATTACATCACAAATTTTTTAACTTACCAGCCTGACACTCATTGCTCTGTCACTAAGAACATGACCATGCAACATAGCTGATTTTAGTTAAGGATCTTTGACTGTAACAAAAAGGAGCAGGCTACTATTTGAAGAATCATTTATGACCATAGAGCACAAAACCACCCCCCCCCCAAAAAAAAGGAGCAGGCTACTATTTGAAAAATCATTAATGACCATAGAGCACAAAACCACTCCCCCCTCCCCCCCCAAAAAAGAAAGAAAAACAAAAGAAAAAGTGGTGAAAATTCAAGGCCCTAAGTCACTGTCATCAGTTTCACTGTTGTTATTATCACTGTTATGCATGCACATGCAGTTGCACAAAAAAAGTTCCATTAAAATTTTTAATTGTATTTCCTGTTAATTTCCTGCAAACCATTAATTTTCATCCATTTGATATAAAGAGAACTCTGCATATTTCTGAGTATAATCTACAAAAAAGGATACAAACTGCATTTATTGCTTCTGAAGCTGTTTCAAACTGTACAGTGCCAAAACCTTTAGATTTATTATCAGAGTCCAAATTGATATCTGCACGAATAACATTACCTGCAAAACAATCATGATCATAACATTAACTGAAAGAAGATTCCTTAGAACCAACTGAACAAGAAACAATGGAACTGAAAGTTTGAAAAGGAAATCAGAAGAAGTCCATGTAGACTGTATGTTGTGCAGATAAAATCATACCAGCTCCTCTGAAGGTGTCTTTCAATTTCTGCCAAGTTACTTTGTAATCAAGCTAGGAGGAAAAAGGTAAACATAAATCCCTGAGCCCCTAAATTTACTTGATAATGGACTACCTTAAGTGGATAATGAATGTTTATTGCATCTGTCAAATAGTAAATGCACTATGAATGGTCAATTTAGCAAGCCATATTTTATTGTAATGCCAAATTCAAAAGTTTGTTTGTTCTTTGCAACCAGAGATAAAATAAATATGTCACTAACATTGTTTTCACCATCAGCACTGTAAGTTACTTGCTCCAAGTTTCCCACTCACATTTACGCCTTGCATGCTTCGTGCTTTCGCAATAAATTTGAGTGAAAAAACTCAGGCCATGACTTACAGTGCAGACCTCTAACTCAATTAGTAAGAGATATATCAAAGCCTACTTACATTGCTGACAAACACAGTGCATGACAATGGATCTGTCCTGTAATTCAGTCCTTGAGCAGAATTGAGATTTCCCAAGCCTAACAGGTTGGCAAGAGGACCACTGCTGTTTCCAAGGCCCAGGTTTCCACTTCCAAGACCACCTCCCAGATGATTACCAAGAGACATACCCCCTCCAGTGAGAGAGGGAAGATCCCTTGGGTCAGGACCCCTGGGGGGAGGCCTGCTACGCCTATCACCCTCTTCAATGCGATCCTGATTGGTAGAAGAGAATATAATCAAGAGTCAAGTTTTTGGTTTAAAGGCAGAGATGTGGTAGTCCATTTGTTTGTATGCTAGACTTTAGTATACAGGCACCACAGAAATATTCAGAAAATGCATTTTACACCTAAGACATAAAACTTGCATCTAGTTCATCATTAGCCTGCAGTGCAGGCATCTTATTAGGGCAAGTTCACATTATAAGCTTGTGATCATTTATCTGACTGGCCATGTTTGATTGGGAGTCTGAGGAAATTGGTGGGGGTAGAGGGTACCTCCACCCTTCTCCTTATTTTTGACTGTACCTCACTCCCTTGGTACAAATTTCTTTCCCTTCCCAGCCTTCCACTGCCATTAAAATCAAACATGGTGGTTATAAGTTTTGCTAACAAAGTATTGAGTACTTGCTTGCCAGAATTATGCCTATTCTATGAGCTAGTTTATCAGTGGAGGGTTTACTAGTAAACATTCTTCATCCAAAATACCTCACGAATGTGTATTGGTCTTCCTCTGAACTCTGTTCCATGAAGCTCCTTGATGGCTTTATCTGCATCATCTCTGTTTCTGAACTCAACAATACTTGGGGAAAAGGAAAAATACTGGTAAGATTTATAGAAATTTGTTGATTATTAAATTGTTACAATATCATCAATGATACAATGCCATCATTTCATTCATTTTAAAATGTTCTACTTTCCTGTAAATTTAATGACTATCTTTGTAAACTGTAGTCACCTACCCACATCCCTGCAAAAAGGAAAAAAAAGGAGTTAACTAAAAGTGCACTAATTCAACCCTTCCAGTTCCAGCAACATATTAACATGTAAAAGTTCCATCATACTTTTGAATGTTCAATTTCTTATCCATCCACCCAAATCCCTCCTCCCCCCACTAAAAATCAATAAAATTCCAGACATCAAAATCTTCTAATTCATATCAGTGCCCTGTGAAAAATATGGGTTAAGAGACTGCCTTTTAGTCACTTCCTTTGAAAAAATTGTCCTAAAAAAAATAAATGCTGTCAGCTTTGTTGGAGAAAAACTCTAGATCCTCTTCACTAGAAACCCTGCCATCCTCAGGAGAGGGGAGGAGGAGTGCATCCGAAATATGGAATACTGTCATTTTTAATTAAGTCTCCACCACAGGAATACATATTAAAAATAGATTAAAACTCTCTCCTGGTTTTTGGACCTTTGATTTTCCATGACTGTCTTCAATAATGTCAACAAATGCCACATCTCCGACTAGAAAAAAAATTGTATACATGTATCAATACAAATTCACATCATCGACTACCAAATCAACATTTACATGCATTGAATCCTTAATTTGATTTGCTTAAGGACTAATGCGAACTAAGCTTGTTCGAAACAAAGAAGAAAACAAATCCACCTAATTTAAAATCACTTTAACCCTTGAGTCGTTTTGAGGTTAGAACGTAGCCTCCAGTACAAAAACAATGGTTCGCCATCGCCGATTTCGTCTAAAGGAAATTATTAATTGTTATTTGTCAAAAAAGATCTTGTGGCTCCATGTACCTGTCGCTAAGCTCGTCGTTGTTTAGAATATGGTGACAGGCAAGACATAACTATTTTAAATACACTAACAACAATAATAGTATTACCCTTCTTCATGAAATCCTTCAAATCTTGCCATTTAACAGCATATGAAAGGTTCCACACGTAAACACGGCACTCTTTTCCTCCGCTTCCAGACTGTCGCCTCGAACTCGAACGCTCATCGCGAGAAGGATACGGGGCGTACCGACGATTTTCTCGCCTCAAATCTCTTTCATATTCACCGCCTCTTCTTCGCCGATCTCTGTCGTCATGATCGCTTTCTCTGCTGCCTTCTCTTTCATTCCTGAGGTCTTGATCACCTGGAGAATCGTCCCTCCTACTTGAATTTGAATACAACACATCTTCATGGTCCGCCATATTGTCTCTTACGTTGACGCTATGCTGTGTGACCACGCTGCTTATAAATAAAAATTGTCGTATGGAACGGGTGGGTAAGGTAATGGATTATCCACCAATTGAATTAGATCAAAGGACTTTTGACTGTGCTGGCGAAGGAGAAAATTGAAATTATTAGAATTGAAGACGTTTTCGCGTTATGCGTTTTTATCAAAAAAAAAAAAAAAAAAAGATTATAGACATATGTTTTTAATTTTTTCCAGAATTATCTCTGTAGGAGGGGAAGGAGGCTGTATTCTTTTCCTTTCCTCTTAAATGATCGCGGGCTCATCATAGTCATGCCTCTCTTCGGTCGCCTTGCAGAACTCTAGAAGAACCGAAATAGAGGAAATAAGTTGAATTTTTACGGCGATCTATGATGGCTTAATCCCTTTGCTTACGGCCATGAGCTAATCTACTAGACCTGCTTCTTTTAAGATGTCTGCGAAAGGGTATGTTTCCCGATGAAATTTTTTACACACTCTAAAATGCATCGATGTCGGAATATTTCAGCTTCTATCAAAATATGAAACTTCTCGCGGAAACGTAAAGTTTATTTCTTTCCTAACAAGGAATGAGCTACGGAAATTAAGCGAAGAAAGCTTGACTAGACCACCTGAAGAAGTCTTTGATGTTCTCGAAAAGCTTGGCGAAGGGTAAGTTTATTTTCCTGCTCTGCATCATACATAAGTTAGTTAAGTTAATTAGTCAAAAAGTGGCCTTCGGGACTATTAAAGTTCAGCACATATATCAAAGTTCAATATATCTGATAGCCGGCTTTTTATCGAACCCTTTTTCGAAGGAACTCATTTTTTATGTCCTAATTATTGAATAACTCCTCTTAATCGTTGAATTAAATCTATGCATTTGGTACAAATGAATTGCGCGATAAATTAAAGTCACAAATATAAACTTAATCGAAGCCAACAAATTTGTTAAGCAAGCTTATATTGAGAATAATTTATTCCGTACAATTTCTTTGATGTTATTACTTTAGCGACCGTGCGGCCTGTTCCTGTTTTCACTTTCGAGATTATTGCCAGCGTAGAATGTTCTGAAAGAGGCTGTTCATTACCTACGAGGTTGTACAAGCACTATAACTGAAAATGATGAATATTCTGTTGCATCGTTTTCGACTCTTGATGTTATGTGTGCTGTGCAAATAAGTTGCATTTAAAGCAGCATGTTTCTTGAGAGTTCTTCCATGGCATGCATTTCTCTGAAGGGTAAATAGGAAGGTCTCCTGATCCAAGAAGTTTTCCTTGGGAAGTATCGTTGACAAGCTTTTACCATTAAAATATACAGTATACAGCATGCTTTCCTTTATATATGAACTAAACATAAAAATTCACTGTTGTAAATGATGTTTAATTGCACCATTTTATTTGATTGAAAACTTATAATCCAACTGGAAATAGAATACATCTCTGTTTACTGAATTCCTGGTTAGAAATAAAATTAAATATTTAACTACATAAGAGGAAAGTAGGTAAATTTTAATTCCTAAACAAATGGTTTGTAGTTCCAATCTAGTATGGTTTTGAAATTTTGTGAGATTCTATATTATTTTGTGGTACCATATAACTCCCAAGATCTGATTGTTTATTCTCCCCTCAAAGCTGTTACATATTTCCTGTAAGTAAGTTGCAATAATTTGGTGTTAAATCAAGATAACAACTTCTACCTGATAGGTTTAAGTATTCTCATTGTGTGTTTACTGGATAATAGATGGGTATTATAGGGAGAAGTTATAAGTTAATCACATCTGAGAGCTAAAGGGTTTGTTGAGATTGGAACAAACTGGTTAAAAAATGCTTTTTTTGTGGGTGGGGGGGGGAAGAGAGGCAGGGCTGGATGGTTTAGTGCCAAGATGAACTACTATCAGAAATCTATGAATCTATAAATTTCAGACTGTTTGGCTTATATGCTAATAATCAATCTTCTTTTCCTTGCCAGTTCCTATGGCTCTGTGTACAAGGCAATGCACAAGGAAACAGGTCAAGTTGTTGCCATCAAACAAGTACCAGTTGACACAGACCTGCAGGAGATTATAAAAGAAATAAGCATGATGCAGCAGTGTGATAGGTAATTCATTCTATATTCTTGAAAAATATGAATTATTTAAATTAGACTTGTGGTTGTTTTATTTTAAGCCTTTAACTCCCATGAGTGACCAAGAAAGAATTTCTCCTTACAATATCAATACAATATCAACCAGATAAGTGATGAGAATAAAATATCAATTTGAGGATAATTAGTTGATCCAATAATAAATTCTCTGAACTAACATTATAAGAATTGTACAGTTGGCAGTAAGGAGAATTACAAAATTGATCTGGGAGTTAAAGGGTTAACTAAAAAACTTTATCACTTCAATGTTAAACGAAAAGTTGTAATAATGATATTTCTGCTAACACGCCTTCAAATGATTCTCTGAATTTCCCTTTTTTTTCAGTCCATATGTTGTGAAGTATTATGGAAGCTACTTCAAGAACACAGATCTCTGGGTAGATATTAATGATTTTCATTTTATCTTTTTACAATGAATGAAATGAATCAAGTGTGATCATGAAGCAGTGGCACAGCTATTACAGGGGCCTTGATAAGTGCTATTCCTTCTTTCCATTCCCTCTCTCTCTCTTTGTACCTGTGTTTTCTTCCATATGAGGTCACTCACAGTAGGAGTTGGTAACTGGAGTTGAGTGAGCCAATCAGAACAGCAGAAATGCAATATTCAGAGTTGAAAATATAATAATTATAGAGTTGTTAGGAGCACTTGTGTGCATAATCACATTTTCATCACTCTTTTGAATGATGTGTCAACTACTCAAGTATAATAAAACTATTATTATAATATCCATTTCCTTTTTTCTGACCAGATTGTTATGGAATTCTGTGGTGCAGGATCAGTGTCAGATTTAATGAAAATAAGAAATAAAACTGTAAGTAAAACTGTTGTGGATGTTGTGTTCAGCTTGGTAATATCTTCTAGTTACACCAAACTGTGGTAAGGGAATTGAAGAAGGAAAAGTGACAGAGAATATTTTCCATATCTTTAAGTCAAAACACATGCAATCAAACTAAGTGCAATAGTTGCTTGTTACATGAAACAGGGGTTTGACTGTAAATCGACAGGTGTAGTGAATAAATCATCTATAAAGCTTTACATGTGTGTGGTTGTTCAAAACCACTGTGAAATTGCAAAATGAAATTTATTATTAATCAATGAAAATGTGATTTCATTTCAGTTGACAGAAGAAGAGATTGCATGTATATTGAAATACACTCTTAAGGGACTTGAATATCTTCATTTGAGAAGAAAAATACACAGGTTTGCATTCTTTGCTTTATTTTAAAACATTGTTTTTGAAAGAAAGAATCAGTGAATTTTATGTCATTGCATTGGAATTATTTTTCGAACAATTGAGTTACAAACATTTTCATTAGGAGTGCTTGGTGTAAAAGTTTGCTGACTCTGTTAACCTCAACCTGGACATGGTTTCTAGTGAAGAAATAATGATGATGGCTCCACAGGGTTATTCTTTTTTGTTGCTTGTAAAGCATTAAAGCCATTTTTGTTGATTCTAAGATATGTACTGTTTCTCTTATTTCAGAGACATCAAGGCTGGAAATATCCTGCTTAATGCAGAGGGCCATGCCAAACTTGCAGACTTTGGAGTTGCTGGTCAACTCACTGTAAGTGTTCCTAAAATTACCAGTATTTGTATCTTTACATGGAGGGAGCACTTGTCTGAAGTCTTGGCTTTTCTGGGTCATTTAATATATCCATGAATCAATGATACAATCTTGAGCAAAATAAAAGCAACATTGTGACCTACCCTCCTCCATTTTCAGAGGCTCAGCTTGTTTGCAATTGCATCTCTTTATATATTTTCTTGGAAGGAGGACTTAATGTGAACTTTCCTTTTTGACAAAGTTGATAAATGTTAAGTCTAGAAATATTTTTTCCTGGTAATTTATCCATCTATTCTTAATGTTCATTGGTTATTGAGCTTTTTTTTTTAATTTTTTCCCTAATTTTTTCTTATGGAAGTTTGATATTTGTGTTTGACTTTATAAATTCTGAATTTATTTCAACAAGGATACAATGGCAAAAAGGAACACTGTAATAGGGACTCCGTTTTGGATGGCTCCTGAAGTGATTCAGGTCAGAGGTTAAAGTTTTAACAATATTGTTGGAAAAAAAATGTATTTAATTATGGTCAAAATATTGTGAACCCTGCAGAATTCAGACTGGAATGTTGTTATGTCAATAAGACATGAGAGAAGTGTGAGCAGTAACAGTAGTTAGTGTTGTCCTCACGGTTTACGTGATCTTAGGGCCTGTGCACCAGCCAAAAATAAATTGCCTGTTTTTAGAAAACTAGATGGCTGTAGCATATGGCATCTATCTGTGTCCAAAATGTGAGTGAGATGTGAAGAAAAAACTACAGAGATTTATTTACCAACAATATGTGTAAACTCGGCCGTGCAGCCGAACGATCCCCCACGACACACGTGATACATGAATATGAGACTGACAAGCGTGACAGCGTGACTTTTTATGTCACACACCACAAGGACTATTAGTAATCTGATGGTTGCAATTTCATTGACCTGAATTCTGTCTCCATTCCAACCATTAGAACCAAAGATTTCTATCAACCGGTTTTTAATCTAGACTGAAAAAATTCAGTGGGTAACACACGTATTGACTGATCTGTATTTCGTTTGTTGAAATGTGTTTTTCTATTTCTTTTTATATATATTCAGGAAATTGGTTATGACTGCTTAGCAGATATTTGGTCTTTAGGAATAACAGCAATAGAAATGGCAGAAGGGAAACCTCCTTATGCTGACATTCATCCAATGAGGGTTAGTATAAACTTCACACTTCATAGTAAAAATTCTCCAAACAGGTCTTCTTAGATTCCTTTTCTTGTTGAATATGACTGAAAAATTGAAATTCTCACTTTGTGTCAAAGCCATCTTCAGTCAATTACTGTTTGTACAGAAGTTCGAAACAATAGGAATAAACGAATCAAAACGATGCAAGAAGCTCTGTTGGCAAGTTTGTGCACCAAACTGCAAATCAAGAAGTCGGATTACAAACCCTGGTTGGGACTTTAGTGCGAGACATTACTCTCCCTGAGAGCCTTTGTCTACCCTGGAGTGTAATTTTTTTACCATCGAACTGCGAGGGGAAGTCAACAATTTAATTGGGAGTAACTTATAATAGACTAGCATTCCATCATTTACACATAATCACTCAAGTCATCGATTTCGTTGACGTGGAGTAGCATGATTTTGTCCCTATTTTCTCTTACAGGCAATATTTATGATTCCAACCAAACCCCCTCCGACATTTAAAGATGACGAAAGACGGAGTAAGGAATTCTTGGACTTTGTGAGCAAATGTCTTGTGAAGAATCCAGAAGAAAGAGCGACTGCTACACAGCTGTTACAGGCAAGAGTTGGTGCTCAGCTGAAGGGCGAGGCCTGAGACTGTTTGAACCCCCCTAAGTCATTTCTCCGGATGTTACGAGTTTTGAAGACGTTTATTTTTTGAGTCCGTATTATTTGAACTTGGGAGACACGGTGGCCTAATTGCTAATGCGCTGAATTTAGAGCCAAGAGAACCTTGTCCTAGACATGACTGGACTGAATGTGTTGTGTTCTTGGACAAGACACTTTATTCTCACAGTGCCTCTCTCTGCAGGAGTATAACTGGGTACTAGTAAACTGTCAAAATGTGGAGGTCATCTGTGATGGACCGGAATCCCATCCAGTGGGAGTAGCTATACTCCTAGACGCTTCGGGATAATCTCTGGCGCAGACTCTGTCATCCCCCCCCAAAAACAAACAAACAAACAAACAAAAACATCTCAAGATAACTTCGGCAGCCTTCCTCGTCCTAGAAACTTCAGTGTAGAAGCGGAAGTTGATGAACCCTAAATTCTACTTTTGTGAACTGTTTATATCCGATCGATCATAATTGCTGTAAATTTTTTTTCCCAGCATCCATTTATTGAAAGTGCCAAGTCTGTAAGTGTGTTAAACAGCATGATTCAAGAGGCGCTGAATATTATGGAGGAGGAAAGTACCAGGGAGGAAAACGAGGTACGATTTGTTACTTTGGTTGGAAACTATCAGACCATTTTATGTCAACAACGCTTTTCATCTAGCGAAAACTTACTGGAGTAGAATTTCTCTTATGTTGTTTTAATAGAAAATCGCAAAACTACTACGACGGACAAAAGTGTTGATTGCTCTAATGCCACTTTCTGTCTTTCATTTATCTTCACCTCTGCTTCATCTCGTTGAGGGGGGGCGGGGAAACGGGGGACTTTCAAGTTATTTATTAGTGAATAAATACAAGATTTCTGTTCGTTATGTGGAATGAAAGGTTGTCGACTTCCTACTAATCGGAGGTGTGCAAGCTACTTTTGCCACTCACTGCAGTTTTTAATAGAAATTCAAGTTATCGTGAACTACAAAGCGCATTAAGCGCCAGTCCTCAAATATAACTCCTGACAAAACTTTCTTGCCACTCGTTTTTTTAAATTCATTTATATCGAAACCGCTTTCATTCTTCGCGGCAGGATGAGACTGAGGAGAGTGACGAACATGTGGATTCAGGGACGATTGTGAAATTCGGCGATGGCAATGACAACACCATGATAATGAACACAGCAACGAGTGTTCAGAGCCAAGATACAATGATTGTTAACAGTGAGGCGGGTACACTGCTCGAGTCAGATCTTGGAACAATGGTAATCAACTCTGACGACGAAGACGCGACAATGAAAAGTAAGCACAGTACATACTAGATAAATTTCAAATAACCATGCGCTCTATTCAATTGTGTAAACGTCAGTCAACGTCAACAATCGGTTTTAGGACTCCTTCCACTGTTATGATCATATCTTGCATAAGGCTAATACCTGAGAGGTCAAGCTTTTATGATGTTCAATGTTAAACTATTTATCCCAAAGGATATTTTAAAGCATTTCTATCTAATGGCCTTGAACGTGAAAGATTGAAATAACATCTCATCTTTGGAGCATGCAGTGAATAGGAGATTAGTTGGATCTCGGTTCAGGTTCCCCCCCCCCCCCCCCCCCTTAGTAGATTTTCGTCAGGTTTCCCTGCCGGTTCGACGGTACACATTTTTATAGCGGAGCGCACGTGCTGCGAAGCCCCATACTTTGTACAAAATGGTATTAACCCGTCAAGCCGGAAAATTTGGTACCTTGGAGTGGGGAGAGGCATTGTTGGAGGAAATTACTTGTCCAGTAACGCAATACCATGACTTCTGCCAGAGCTAGCACTAGTATTTTTCGATTCGTAGTCTAGAGAGCCAACTACAGTCTACCACATCTCCCCGCGATTACACTATACCAAGGGCTAATGCCCCACAGCTGAACTGTTGATGCTCTCTTTTAGATCACGTGTCATATCTAGTTAAACAGTGATTCAATCTTTCAACCTAGAGCGCTCCTTATCTCTTTCCATTTACAGGACTGGACAGTGACGCCAAACAGAATTATCGTCCGTCCTTTATGGATCATTTTGACAGAATCTACGAAGCTGGAGGTCGAGGAAGCGAGTCTGGTGCCAATGGTTCTTCTGAAGAAGACTCTGGAGGACTTTTGAGGGGAGTGAAACCAGAAGATCCCTTTAAACTTAAGAAGGAAGGCCCTCCAGACTTTGAATTTGTTAGTATTAAAACTTTTTTTTTGAAACTTTTAATGAACTGTAAAGAAGTATAGTGTCCATCAAGGAGACTAAAACCTTCCCTTTGATTCTTTCTCTTCCACAGTTAAGATCTCTTCCTTGCGATGAACTGCAACGGCGAATGCAAACACTGGACATGGAAATGGAAAAAGAAATTGAAGGACTTCGGTCCAGATACCAAGCAAAAAGACAACCCATCCTTGATGCTATGGAAGCAAAGAAAAGAAGGCAACAGAACTTTTAGCAGCGTCATGTTGCCTCGACGTGGATTGTACTATACTGCATGTGTTGGAGAGAAATTTGTGCTAAAGAATATTTAAAGGTTTTACGTCTCAATTTTTTTTGCTGCGTGTAAAATTACCTTCAACGGGAAGGAAACAACAAAATATTAGTTTTGTAAGATAAAAAAAATACCAACATGGAAAAGGTAAACCAAGAGGAACTAGGTTGATCAAGGATTGAGAGGATATAAATAGATTGTAAATGACATACTTGAAGGTTTTAAGCGAAATTTTTTTGAGATTCTGATTATCTGAAGTGGTTCCTTTAAGTCCTGATTGTCGGCTCTTATCATTACTGCGAAAACAGTTGGCATAACATCTGCCCGAGTTACGAGTGTTAGCCTTGGAATTTAAGGCATATTTGGTGACTGACTGCCCCGCGTATTCTTCTGCCAAGTAAATGCCGTCTACACTAGAATCAAAATCCGTTCCATCAACTCGTGTAAACAATGCAGATCTATTTTGAATATGGCGAAGAAGTGCACTCCATATTCCTCCACAAAGGAAACGACGACAAGCAGAGAATTACATTTTCTTATCAGTGCCACTTGAATTAAGTACGTGATGCGGACCTACGCTGAATATGGCCAGTTGCGTCGGGACAGATACGTGGAACGTTTTCGTTTACGGATTCAATAAGGAGGATTAAAAACCACTGGCTGTGAGTTGGCTCGGATTGTAGTAGGATCTCTGAATGAACAGTATAATTACAGATTTCGAAAAACTTGTCTATAATATTTAAACTGACAGTTCTACTTTATACCTATAGCTAAATTGAAGAAAATGTACCGTCATTGGTTGGTTTGAAGAGTTTGCTATGTTGACCCAAGATCATCACCTCGGTCCGTCAAAAGTTAGTTTTGCATGTCATCAATTGATAGATTGATTGAATGACTGCGACCTATAGACTCGCCGTTGGCTGTCCTCTCCTCTATAACCTGACATAAGCCACCAAACTCTCTTCGTCAAACTCAAAAACTCGAAATCTCCAGGGAGCAAAAGATGGTAATGCTGTCAGACTCTTTATTTCCTTTTTTTTTTTTTTTTTTTTTTAATTAGACGCCTATTTATTTTCTTATTTGGAAGGTAAAACAATTCGTGTAAAAACGCTCTTCTATCATATGAAGTACAGAGCAAGTGATGGTGATTCACAAAATGCAACGTGGTGCCTTAGATAAACAAATTAGAAAACATTACGAAAGAAACTGTAGTCCAACTAAAAAAGACAAGAATCACAGAAATCGATCATACATTTGAAGAGATCAATGTCATATCTAAGTAATTGCCTACCAGCTCCTCCCTTAGCCCAGCAACAGTCAACCGATGACAAGCCAGGGTTAATGTCGGGTTAGGGGAGGGGTATGTGCGCAGTAGCTAAGATAATTAAATTGATCCGTTCGACTTGAAGACAAAGTATTTTATTTCTGACTCCTCAACTAAATTACTTATTAAAGTTTGGTGACTTCGCACAGGCCCCGTTTCGAGGTAGCTCGTTTTAAAGCGTAAGTTATATTAATTGCTTGAGGATAATCGATTTGTTTTACCAGAGAATGGTTCCTTCATTCGGAAGGCTTTTTTCTTTATATTTATAGATTACTACTTCTATTACTTCACTATAGTTTTGTACATTGAATTTTCATTCTTGACTTTGCTGTTTTTAAGACTTGATAAAAATTGAACATAAGCAATTTGATCGTTGTCTGGTTCAGTTCGTTGACATTGCGTCAAGTTGCTCTAAGTTACCTTTGAAACGCTGCTGAAAAGTTCTATGGGCTCAGCAAATATCCACGATTCGATTTTGAATGAACAAAAAGTTGTTACGTTTACTTCGATATCAAATTGGGCCTAAAATGTACAGATTGCTACTGTTATGTTATATTGGTTAATGGTAATTATCTTTACAAGAAGCACGTTGAGTTCTTTTCAAACACTTAGGGATCTAGTCTACTTTCCAACTTTTTTTCTCGTTTGTTTTTTTGTTGTTGTTGTTATTGTAAATTTTTTTCCATGCTGTTTCGCGCTTTTTATGTTTGTCGTCACGCAACTGTACTCGTCACGGTTTTCGTGACTAAGATGTGGTGTGACGACCCAAATATCACCTGGAAAGGAGGCTAAATCCTCCCCACTCTTCCCCGTCTAAGATCCATAGCTAATTTTAGATAGCCTTGAAAAGTAATGGGAGATTGTTGGTTATTTAGCTGGAATAAATTATCTTAGTTTTAACAAGTGATTGCTAAAAAAAAAGGAGAAGTAAAAATTTTCTTTTAATTCTGTCTTTCTTCATTTGTTTCTAACAATGTTAACCAATCAAATTTGGCGCAGTAACACACGTCACTACTTCGTCCCCAGGGGGCCTCGTCGTTTTCAAAATGGCGACGGTTTTTGCTGACCAGCCGCCATTTTGAAAGCTAGGATCCTTTTGAGTACGATTTTTGATAAGTCACTGCAACGACTCTCTTTTGTTTTATAGAAAAATATGGCCACTGGTCAAATCGCTCTTTACTTGGTAACATCCAAGAGGGTTGTTGTTATGGTAACATAAGAGCGTAACGTTTTCGACATGTTTTTGCAGAAGAGGAAGTCCAAGTCCAACTGGTCAGATTATTAGACGGTGGAATGTTCATTTTTATTGAAAAAGAAAACTGATCGCCTGTACAACGTACTATTTTATCAAAAAAATATATTCATTTATTGTTTCACCATCACTAGTGAGAACGAGGAAGGTTTATGTCGTCGGCTCAGCGGTGAACAAAACTGACAAGTCATCCAGCCACTTAAATGATACATTCTCCTCAGTTCCTCCTTGGTCTTAAGTTTCACAAATATTCCTTTTAAGTTTGAAATGCAAGTGAAGAATTTCGATACATAGATAATTTGAAAAGCTGAAACTTAAGATGCCAGAGTATCAAAATTTAATAATATACACATACACCGGCGAACCCTGGTTACAGATTGGTATCAATTAAAAAATCATCGTTTACATCGTCAAATCAAGATTTTTGGGTAAAATTCGAATGAGTCTTTTCGTAGTCTTTCATCCAGCAGGTAATATACGAATCCCGATAAAGTTTGATCTAGTTGAAGACTTCTTTCCTTTGGTTGCATGATGTCTAGCTTTTTAAGATGTCTCTACTGAAATATAACGGGTTAAACAAACACAAGATTAACATGTATAAAGACTGTGTGAGAAGCTTTGGCATATTTGATCCACTCATGGAGCCTGCGCATGGTCAGTTTGCATACAAAGTTGTTTGAGTCTACTCAATCACATTGGTATCAACCAATAACAATGCGGCGCTTTTTCATGACATTTTTGGAAGATGTGCCGTGGGCAGCTGTTTTTTCGGTTGAAACTCATGAGAGCGAATAAATTACTCGTAAGAAATCTTAAGGAAGTCTCATGAAGACAGGTAATATTTCACTTTCAATACGTTATTGCACTTTCAATATGTAAGAAAACTTCACCATTTAGCGGCACGTTTCAATCCAAATTAAAACAACTCAACGACTGATTAGAAGTAAAGGAAATTTTACAAGGGGCAGAAGTGAGCATGAAAGTAAAAACAGATAAGCGGGAAACGCGAGGAACCAATGAGCGACTGGTTTATATGGAATATCTAACGGGTTGAGAGGATGGTGTAAGTTTTCTCGACCAATCATAGCAAGAAGTAAAACAAAACCATTCTAAACCTTCCGGAGGACTTTCGACCCTCAACTGAAATTTCTCCACAGATCTATCGGGTGGTACATGAAGATCACTCTTACCTTGCTTTTATTTCGTTATCAGCAGAACAGTTTGATAAGAAACCCGAGTAAAATGATTATGCCCAGAGACACCAAACCTATTCCAACACACAGCAAGATGAGTGGAATAAAGCAGATATCTAAAGGAAAAAAAAAAGGAAACAGATAAATATGAAACAATCCTTAGCCGCTCCATCTCAAAATCTTTACCTAGCCCAACTTCGCTCCGCCAGCCAACTTCAATCCCCACTCACTCCACCCCAATACCAATCTCCGCGCCCTGCAGCCATCCAACTTCAATCCCCACCCACTCCACCTTGAAACCAATCCATACCCCTCGTTTCTATTCTTCACTGTTCAACTATTGAAGGCCAATGGCAACTTAACGTCATTTAAGTAAAGTAAATATCTATGCACGCTACGAGATTCCAATTGAAAGTTCTAGGGTGAAACATCCCGCTGATGGTCAGAAGGTCATGATTAGCTCCTCTTAAAGATTCAGACTCCCAAGTTTGCAGCACACTCGTAAAGAGTGAATTTGTATAGGGAACAACATGATTTCGAGTGAAATTTGGTGTTTATAAGCAAGAGCCAGCTTTCAGAGACAACAAAATTGCGCGAACCAGGAGAGGATGCGCTAATTATAATTTGCAATTATACACGAAAAATGCACTCGTTTTTAGCCAATCAGACGCGCGTAATTTTTTCATGTATAATATTAAATATGTTATTTTATAATTGTTCCTCAGCTTACCTTCATCATCGGTCTGTTCTCCTGTTGCAGGTTCACGACCAGCTGAGCCATCTTAACAATAAACGAAAGAACAGAACAAAAAGCAAGGTGTAAATGGATACTTAAAACACGCCTTACAGCAAGGAATGAGTGATTGTTAGATTCTGAGAGTGGACTGTTTCTCCAAGTCAGAAAATCCGAGTGGCCCTTTCTCCCGAAAATTGCAACAGTTCCTTTTTTTCCAAGAAACCCCCTCCCACATGCTTTTTCCCTTGTTTACCCAACTTCAGGAAGACCATCATTCCCCAAATCTTACCATTGCTGCTGATCGTAATCGTGACACTCCCAGGCGTGACAATGGATATCACACCATCCACGGAGGTCATGGAGATAGTAAATTTCTCATCGTCTTCTGTCCAGTCATCTTTCAGGATAGAGATATTAATACTGTGATAAATCTCTCCTGGTTTGAATGTAACCTCCTTGGATTGGAAGGAAAAGTCTTTGTCTATTACGGCTGAGTCACTTGTAGCACTGAACCTGTTACAATGACAGCACAGAGATGCAGTTAAAGTGGACGATCTTTTTGATGGGTAAGGAGCATTGAATGATAAATCATACAATGGAGTGAATACCTAATTTTTTCATATTGATCAATGTCCAGGCTCTATCATTTGAGTTCACTTATTGAAAAAATGAAACATCTATGTAAACAATGCCATTTTATCTGGCTAGCCTCCTTTCTCAAGGCACCCAAATTGGAGCAGCCAAAGAGGAACATAGTGATTTTAAAACATTGAGATTTAAGCACAATAATTTTATGGCATGCATATTGTGGTAATTATTGTGCAGAGATAAAAGGTTATACAGGCTTAGTTTGAAACATAATCCAGAAGCTTCTTTTTCACCACAGGTATCGCGGGAAGTGTATCACATGTACCAAGTTTGCTGCATCAACGTTTTGGCGTGCGCCACATGTCATTTAGTCGGCAAATGTAGACTTATTTTTGGTTTTCTCTTCTTTCTATCCAAGAGATAAACTTCTGCTTTCGGTTTCGAAGGGTTCTTAACATATCAATATGAGCAAGATTTTACTCATGATTGGTTACTACTCAATCGTGGGATCTCTAAAAAGGAGGAGTGGTCTTAAAATTTCGTTAGAGGAAATACATCAAGTCTAGGTGCTCAACGAGGATTGCTTTTTTATGTTATTTTTTGCGCATTTTAATCGCCTTTCCCTGACCTTACTGTTGAAGCAAGCTCCACGTTTCCGGTTCTCATGGCCATAAGATTAACACTTCCATCATCTTCCTGTATCGTCACAGCACTGATAGTAAAATTCGCTGTAACTTGAACAGCGTTCAGAGCTATCGAAAGAGAAAACCTCCGGCTTAGAGTCCTGTTCACAAGCAAACTAAATTTTAAATGTTATCTTTGATGATAACACTTACGGTAATGATTGTACTTGAGCAAGTAGCCCATATTGCTTGAGCTTTCATTGAATTAACAGAGTGACCAGAAATGAGATATCGAGATCGCCGGTCCTCGATCTCACCTATGGTTAGGGGGGAGAGAGGCACTGTGAGGGTAGTGAGGGCAGAGCATTTTGCCTGACAACGTGACACAATAACCTGGCCGGGGTGGGGTTCGAGTTCGCCAGGGCCCTTGAACCCGGTTTCTAGCACGCCTTCCACTCGGCTACAATACCTCCCGGGGACAACCATAGTGCACGTGCGCACAGCTGTTATTGATGGAAAAGAAAGAGAGAAGGGGTGATGAAGGACGTGAAGAGAACGATTGTGAACCCCAAAAAGGTTGGTATAAAGGCGAAGGGTAAATTAAATTTTGATCCTTTTAACCAAATTTGTGAGTTAATCGAACGGATTTTAGACTGGGTCAGAATTAGAACGCCGTGGTGGCACACCTCAGCCCAGACATTCCGTTGGCGCCCCTCCCAGAGATAAAAGGTTAAGGGTGGGACCTCTTGACTTCGCCCCTCCCCTCTCAGTAGAGACTACGCATATGGTGATGGTGGAAAAATGGGGGGGGGGGATTAAGAAGTGAGGAAAATACCTTGACTGAAGGTTGCCTTGGAGAGTTCCATTGCCTGTGTCTCGTTTAGTACGCCTCTAAAGACCTGGAACCAGCTCATTGAAAACTTTGTCTGAGATTTATCAAAGCCAAGGGAATACTCATAAGGGGTGGGATTTGACGGTTCGGCAGAAATTGGTGAATTGTAGTTATCGGAAGCCATTCTTGTGCCGTTCAAATAAACCAGTGTTTCATTTTGGTGCAAGCCAGTATACATAATGCTTATGTGGAACCATTGAGTCACCTTTGCTATGCCGTCGACACGTGCACCTTTGATGTTTTTATCGTGATGTCCAACAGCGGCATAAAATGATATATTGCTCCCGGTCTGTATCAATCTAATCTCGACTGGATTACTGTTTTTCCGCTCCTCTTTCCTGGGGGATGAAACGAAAAGGCGGACAGAAACGGCATTTGGCAGCGGCAAAGTACTGATTTTATATAGAAAAGAAATTGTAAAGGCTGGAAAAGTGGTCATGTTGCCAAGGGTATCGGCAAGAGTTCCAAGAACGATTTTATTTGAACCGGTGTCAAAGGAAATGCTATGAATCCCTTCGTCTCTCTGCTCCACGACTTCTCCGACGATGTTGTTAGGAAGGAAAGAAGTGTTGGAATTGGGCTTGTATCCATAAAGCTGGTTGTTCCACTTTGGGTATAGGTACCAAATGAATTCTGTTGATTGGAGATGAATATGAAAATGAATAGAGCTGAAGTTGAGAAACAGTATATCAATATGGTATGGGTGGTAGCTTTTAGTCATGTCTTATATGCCAGCTGCCTGTCGGATCTTTTCACAGTTTCTATTTCAATCAACTGTATATCAACTACATCAGCATTTCAGTTCATTAAATGCAAATTACGGTAAGGAGTTCTGGTCAGCCTGTGGTTGGCGGAGTCATTTTAGACAGACAACCCAACCTTAATAACACTTCTATCAAGCTCAGAATACAATAAAGAAAATCCAGAAGTAGACGAATAAATGTAATAAAAAAGTCTCTTATATCACAGCATAATTTGTTACTCGTCTTTAACGGGATTCAAGTCCAGCACTCATCAAATTTCTCTGATAGCTGTCTGGTCTGGTAACCATTTTTACTCCTGGGAGGAGCCTTAAAACCATTTTAAATGTGAACTAACTAGCCTTAGGATGGCAGCCATAACTTTCATCAAAAGATACCGAGCACTCACCAAAATTACGTCTGCTCTGCTAACTATTCCAATCAACAACTCATTTAAAGATATTTAGACATACTTTGGTAATAGAATGAGTTTATCATAACTGATAGCATTACTAGCCCCTCAAGGTCGAAAGATAAATTTATCCGTTGCTACGAGACAAACACGTTGTTTTTCTCTACAGGTAATTTTTTCATGTTGCGGTTACATGCACATCTTTTATGTTGTTTATTTCGCAAATCGGAAAAATTGTTCTAGAAAGATCCGCATGATTCTGTCTTTGAACTAATCCCGGCAATCAACTCTCTCACTGTGTTTTGGCTAACCGCTCCCCAAAATACAAGATGTAGATATAATCAGATAGCTTTTTAATGACTCGTTGATGACAATATGCTGAGAAGAATTACATTGTTTTTATAAAAGTAATTATTCTTGTGAAAGTCTCTCTTAAATCGTGTCTGATTAAACCATAAAAGTCTCAATTCCGCCTACAAGAGTTTTATCAAACTTTTCTATATTACTTTAACGACAGTCATAAGTCGTATGACTCTCGAACTTTCGGACAATATTTTTCACACGAGGACACATCCAATTTATACGATATCATGTCTCGATTCACTCGTCCGAGACCAAATATTTGTTTACTCGACGTACGTTTAGGTTTAGCTAAGTATGTTTGGATCGGAGGTAAAACTCTGAATAACTAAACTTTACTTTTACTTTTCAAAAATACAGTCAAGTTTGACGAAAACATTTGTATAGCCGTGTGAAAGCAACAATAAATTATGCTAAAATATGATCATATCCTGCACACTGAACTAAACAATCGACTCAATTTTTCTAGTAATTTCTCCTGCTCCCAGCCATTATTCTGTAGAATTTTTAAGCCAACGTTTTTTGATAATCAATAGGACATTGGTATGAAAATGAATTTTATCCCAAGATAAAGTTCTTAAGCTATTATCATAACACTTTCACAGCTAGAGCACAGTTTTCTGTTTGAGTTTAATTTCTTTCAAGATTGCATCCATAAATCTTCGGAACGGGAAAAAGGTCGTTTCAAACCTTTACCTTTGAAGTGGTTTTGTTGCAATACGCAGAATTAAAAGAAAAAAAAACGTAAAATAGACGAAGGCGAAAGTTATGGTGTAAAGGTTGAGCACTCAAAACTTAAGATAATGAAAGGTTCCTACGAAAAACAGCGATTTAAAGCTGAGAAGCGAGAGATGTAGGGAAAGGAAGGAGAAGATTTTACAGGGAAAATTGAAAAATGTCCGCGAAATCAAACACTTCGAAAACTGAGCGAGTTGATTACCAATCGGTCTTCAGTGAAATAATCTAGTCCGTGGTTGTGTTGTGCGAGCCCTGTAGGTAAATAAGTAACGTATCATGACTCACCGGGCCTTGGTACAAAAGCGATTGTCATCGATGATGCCATAAGAAAAAAGTAAATATGGATAGGTGTCGACTTCATTCTTTCCAATCTTACTACAACTTGTTGTTTTCAAGACTATCGTTTTCAGTAGCTACAACACCTGCATTCTTGTTTCTTTCATTCCTGTTATTAATTATGCAAATATTTTTTCCTTCGGCATCGCTTACGATTACGCGAAATTATATCAAAGAAATCACGCTGCGAGACCATGCCTCGATATTTTCTCGAACAATTCAGAAGCCATGACGTCACAATTTTCAACTCGAGCATAAAATCATCTAAGCTAAGATTGAAAACTGAAAACTTGGGCGAAAGTAAGGAAAAGGACTTAGTATCAAATGAGTAAAAACTACCAACAATATCGCTTGTGTAGTTTAAATACAAATGTTGTTTATTGATAACCAGGTCATGACAAGAAGCCCACAGGCTAGAAACAAATAGGTATGCTTGACCTCGTTTGGGTTTATTGGAGTGTTTTTGTTTACAATCTCTTAGCCACAACATTCCTGACATATGTCATTCCGTTGTTATGTTTATTTCATGGCTGACCGCAAAACCTGAAATGAAGTGCTACCCTGAAGGGTAATGGGCTTATTTTGGAATCTGTTCACTAGTCTTGTGCCTCAACTACCCGAGGATGTGGAAATTGTTAGTACAGTGGATTGTTCCTCGCGGTGAATAAGATTCCATCGCGGGTCACCTCGACAAATTTGTAAGTGGTACACAGTCACAGTCCTATGGCGCTGATAAGAATTTGTTTCACAATCAGGAGCTTCTTAAAATGATGATCATTTCCTTTACACTCATGACCTTTACATTTGATCAAAAGATGATACTGTTAGGGGAAACTAGATGTCAACCATTCTAAGGAAATCACGCTGTGAGCATTCTGTAACACAACACATTGACCCGAGCAGAGGTTGAAGGGGACTTAAAGATCCCGAGACCCGCCCCCTAGTGGCCAGATCATCTTAGGGGTGGGGGGGGGGGGGGGGGGTAGGGGGTTAAATAGAACATCGAAAAGTTGCGTCAGACGGTGCAATATTTTAACTTAAAAGTTGCCTTAAAGTTTCTCTTCGTTGTTACTTTTTTGTTTTGGTTTCGGGGTAGTTATCACAACAAAAGCTTTGCGGTAACCTTCGTTTATTCCGCCCACTTTTTTAAAATTATACCGCAAATCTAACTTACATTACTTACCGATTAACTTTCATAAGAGGAAAAATAAACAGACAGCCAACACTTTAACCAGTAAATTTACACATTCCTTTCTAGTGCCCAGTCCCTTAAAATTTGGTAATAACTTTTTCAAAGGTCTCTTTGAGCTAATCGTAGTTACAATTTAAAACTATCATTTCCCCAAATAGTTATGAAAAACAATCTGTATATTAAATTCTTTTATTCATCGGCGTTGTTAGATATTTTTTAAAATTTACCTTCGTTATGGTATAAAACGTTCCCTTAGTTCCAGAATTATTAAGAGGGAAGGGGACTTCCGATTCCATGTTCTCCTTAAAGTCTGTGACCCTCACTTCTAAACTTTCGCCATTCTGATCAAACCTCGATCCAGCTCCCTGCCTCTCTCGTCGGAGTGCGAGAAAGGCAGTGTATGAAAACGTTGGTGTAATGTCAAAATGTAACTCCAAAATTGTTACATTCTGAACAACAACGGCTTTAGGCCACTCAACCCCACCCCACAAACAAACTCCCTTCCCTTCCTTACCAAAAGCAGTTACTGTTTTCAGGGGTTATATCTCTACCCCTGGGAATTATAGGACGTTGTCCCCCTGGGGCATACCAGCGTCCTCTTACCCGAGGGGTATTCTTAATACTTGGGTGTATGAGGCTTGTCGAGGAGAGCCCAGACCCATTTGTTTAAATACAAATCGCTACAAAAAATTTAAACTATTAAAATAAATACATGTCTTAATTTCTTCCTGCATTTTACCCACTCACAAATGACTGCTGATTCCCGCGTATTCGAATTCGAAACTGTACAATTCATAATTTACTTGCGGGTAATTCTAAATCTCATTTCTGTTCATTTCAAGCTTGGAGCTCCTAACATTCCGTCAAAATTACTTAAGATCCGCCAATGTATATAACGTTGTGGCACATAAGAAATGATTATTAAAGTCGATAAAATGCAATTTGTGAACCGTCTACGTTACTAATTTTTCCAGCCGTTTCTACACTTTAACCTAAACAAAAGGAGCTCCTCACAAATGGCGAATGTTGGAAAATTCCTTTTACATTTCTCCAGTTCATTATCCTCAGCCCGTGTATATCATCTCCATTCTTAACCATCTCTGTTCACCCTTATTGTTCGCCTCCACCGACTTAAGTTTGCGATTTTAAACCTGTCCATCTCTGGCCACCAATCGTCTTTTCTGGTTGATTCGCAACGTTCTGGAGGTCTTATTTCTAAACCAGACTAATAGCGGAGCCCGCAGCGCGCGCAGCGTAGCCACATACTTATCAAAAATTTTTTTTGGTTCTCTCCGAGAGCAAAATTACCGCACGAGAAATAATTTTACATCTAATTGTATGAATAATACTAAATATACCTGAGAATTAAAAAGGTTTCAAACAGTGTGTCCACTATTTGCCACATCCTATGTATAAATTCAAATGGTTTCCAAATTCCTGAATACGGATTGCTTGTTTCCCGAACGGAACAGTTTTGATTAAAAATATATGACTGATAGTCTTCCGAAAATTGTCCTCAACTTTGTCTCTTATCTGTGGTTTACAACAAATTAAGTTGTTTAAAATAAAATGTTTGATTTTCTTTTCCATTCATTCTTACGTCGGTTGTCACGTGTTTGTTTTCTCATAACCACGGGACTCTGGGTAGGGCTGTTGGCTCGCCCTAAGCCTTTCTGGTCGGCTAGTTCGCGCTTGACAGAGTCGATGGGAAATACCTTTTCGGGTTTTACAAAGGATCCATAACGAGGCTTACAGGCGAAGTACCGCTGACCACTCACAGACCCGTCATTTTTTCCTAGTGAACGAGAACAATCATCAAAACGAAACTTAGCCCATAAAACGTCCATATCGCACAAAACGAGGAGCATATCTGCAAGGCTTAATATCCTCACGAGACTGAGGTAAATAATTAGCAGAGCTTATCCCAACTTTTAATATTAAGTGCCTAAAATCACACTGATGTAATAACAGCGGGTACAATAACATAATGAGAACTTGCAGTAAAAAGATGTCACCCGCCTAGAGCCTAGAGCCTAGAGCAACACAAAGACGAGTTACTTCATGTAGGTCGTACTCGTTTTTAGTGTTGCAACTGATTGGTTGACAGGGTCCCGCAATTTTTCTTGACCAATCACGGAGCGACAAGCAGCAAAACCAAAGCAATCCAGGTTTATTTCGGACACTGAGTTAAAATTTTTACTGAAAAATGACTCACCTGAGGGGGTGTCCAATTCAACACCAATCCAAACACCAGGAGCAAATTCAGTTGGTCCAATATATCTAATCCTGCCAGTTTTTTTGTCTCCGATGCAAATAACCTGCCCCTTTTTCAAATCCCCCAAGGAATCCAGCGAATCGTGCACATCCTCCCCCTCGAAGGAACCCAGCAGATCCTCTCGACTGCTAGAGTTTGACTTTTCGTGTGGAATGGAATTCTGCTCCTCGCTATCTCCTAGTAGTTCCAATGGTTCCCCCTCTACCTGAGTTTGTGTGAGAAGCGATGAGAGTTCATCTTCGTCTTCTTCGTCGTCCAGAGCGTCATCTAAACCGCGTAATGTTATCCCCACACTTGGCTTCGCACTGCTCTTCTCGGAAGCAAAATCTATCAAGTTATTTTCCAGACTGATCGATTTGAAATCGTTTGCCTGTACTGGCGGATTCGATAAATCTTCACCCGACGCCGTCGGCGTTGGCGTCGGCGCGGAGGGATCTTCACAAGTTAGCGTATCTGCGCTACCTGAACGTTCCCGAAGTTCATCTGAAAGGGGGCTGACTGTTCCTTCAGTAGACCCTTGGCCTGTAGTCTCTTGGAAGTCGAACAAAGCCTTGGGATTTTTCCTGACTTGAGGGCTCGGTGCGGGAGTAGATTCATCCTCTTCTAGAGGCTCAAGCTCCATGAGAAGGGAGCTGGGGCGTGAGTTAGATGATCCGCCTCCTGAATTCCGCAATACAACACCTGATGTAGTGGGTGATGAGCTGAATTTTTCATTCATTTGTGAGAGGTCAAGTAAAATCTCCTCCTTCGTTGGTCTTATTGGCCGAGGATCTGTGAAACTCCCCGGTAGAACAAAATCGCTTCTGTTGTTAGCCTGTTAACAAGAACGTTCACAAATGTTTCACTCTTCTCTTTTACAAAAGGTCAATTCTAATGTAGTAGTGTATTGACAATGTTAAAATATAAATTAGATGGAGACTTCTATGAAATAACTGATTCTCACCCTTGTATTCCAAAGTTTGTGACTCTCTGGTGAATCAAATCGATCGTCTTTTCCACTGAACCCGAACGAAAGGTCCCCCGACTATAAAAGCAGGAAAAACAACAACAAAAATCATGAGCCTCAAGACTTGTCGAGGTTGTAACTACTATTTTGTGAATGTTTTTTTTTCTACTTGTAAGAAGTCATTGTGTAATTAACAAAGCCAACTTAAGTTAAACAAAGACCAAAGAAGCAGTACATCTTACCGCAGCTGCCAAGTTTGGAGTACTGGCGAATTTCCTCAAGGGCTTTCCAATGGCCGCCAGTTTCTCCTTCACCATAACTTCCTGCCAAAGAGACAAGCACATTTCGCTCAATAATTCACCCATTTTAGTAATTTGGGGCGACGAAACAAATAAACAAACAAACGCTTTCAATTGTTGGTGCATTGCTGAAGAAACATCCAAGTGATTTAAGGTCACAAGCGATATTATTATTACTATCTCCTTACTGAATACTTCCATAAATCGTGTACTAGGAGTCACGTGTTCTCCCCCACTGGAAATTATCCCGGTTTGCGTGACATACACCGCTTAGAGGTATTTCTACTTCCCCCCTGAATGGGACGCTACGCTAGTTAATCGCCAATTAAACCCCTTTATTTCGTCAAGTTTCGTAGGGAGAGCAACTTCGACGGTAGAGAATCTTGCTCGTGAACACATCACAATGACTTGGTCAGGTCTCGAATCCAGGCTTTTTAATTCAGAGTCCAACGCGCTACCCATTGAGCACCGCTTGACAGCCACCAAGTTCTTTGGCGCCGTACCTGTCTGAGTCGATCGAGTGCCAACAAACTTTCCACATGTGAGATTCCTTTGCTGTACTTTCTCAACACGGATTCATCCTCCTCCTCCCCCTCCCCCACAGCTAATGCAGCCATTTGTGCCAGGCTCTCGCGTTCTTCTGTCTCCTCTCCCGGTTGCTGCAAGGTGATTGAAAGATGAACTTATCAGTACCCTTGTTCACCTCGTAATTCTCGTATTCCATCAAGCAAGGGTCGAACGGAGAATATTGAGGTCTATAGCAAAGCCCTAGAGGGTTAGAGGGCGACTATGAGGCAAACGGCAAATATCTATTTACCAGAGAGATGGTTTAAATGCCATATCAAATTACTCCTAATTTCATCTGTTCCTAGCTCAGCTTAAATTCACTCTTACCCTCTTGGTAAATTATCATGACAAGAAAATCGTTCATTTTGTAAGCGTTAACTTACCCGTGGAATGTGTGAAACAAGTTCGTACGTCACGCCAGACCGTGTTATGATATCCTTGTAAAAGATAAATTATCAAAATATTTAGTTTTTAATCTAATACATCACAGTACGACACGTCAATCAAAAAAATGACGTATGAACGAAACCAAATATATCTTAAAAGGGACAACTGCCAGAAGTTTCACATACCTTTGTAATTTTTCTCAGCAAACTGTCTTTCCAGCTTTGTTTCTTGTATATTTTGACTGAAATTCTTTTCCGAAGGACCAGATCCATCGCGATTGGACTTGCGAGGCGAACGATGATCTGCAGTTAGGAAGGGTAATCGGAATAGGATCATTTTAACCTTTGCCTCCTCCGATTTAATGAAGAATTCTCCATTTAAAGTTCCACAAATTCAGTTCTAAAATGCTTTTAAGAATTTGCTTCCAAGATAAAATAGCAACCCCACAAAGTAACAGGGTTTAATGAGCAACAGTTATGTTCATTGAGGAAAATTCTATCTTAAATTCTATCTTAATTGAAAGCGATTTCTTTGTAGTTTTCTAACATACCTTCAAGATCAGATAAACTCTTTCATGTGATTGCGTGACACGGTTAAGAAACACGGAGTCGTGAATTGACGAATCCCATAACACAGTGGCAGAAACCTACAAGTCATTATAAAAGATATCACGCACAATGTCGAGGAATCACATTTGATGCAGCCCAAACACAGTTACCACTGAAACCACAATAGCCAAGTAGGGTGCAGGGAAGAAGATAATTTGATTGCTCTGATATATTTAGCTCAGGTGGTAGCCATGGCGTGATACCGTCGTGACTTAAGTCAGTGAGGTAAAAAGTCACGTGACTAAGCACCCTGAACTTGCCTGAAAAGAATTCACGTTCATAATTACACACGCGGGGTGTGTTGATCACAAACCTGCTTCTGATCGTAGTTTATAATCGGTAGTTCCATCATGTGGTCGGAATTTTCGAACACCAAAGTAGAATCCACTCCTGCCGGGCCTCCTTCTTCCATACAGCCGCTTCTCACATCATCTGTGGGGAGGAGAGGGCAACACACTTATTTATCTATAATTCTTTCTTCCTCTCTCTGCGAAAAGCAAGATTGGTTTTGATTCGAAAGAAATTATAAAAACAGAAAAGACCGAGTGAGATCACAAAGATAATCGCGCACATCTTGCGTAGAAAATTTCTTATGTCACGCTTTCATACCAGGAAACCTCACTCCAACACACAACGCTTTCCTTGGGTAGAAATTCCAAAGAGAGTATAAGTAATAACCTCTCCACAGAGCATGTGTTTCTACGAAGGGCAAATTTTCACCACACGTTACAAAATTCTTCACCTTCCCATAACAAATGCGAAGCAACATACATTTTAAACCAACCAAACAAAGTTAAATCGATTGCCTTACCATTCTGTAAATCCAGAAAGATAACAGGGTTGTACTTCTCCATTCCCAGCGGCACAGTCCTATAAAAGAACACCCGGAAGAATTTAACCCCTGAGGGAACATGTAAATATTTAATTAGCAGCTAGTAGTCTCCTTAACCCTAATCAGTAGTTACTCGGGGTGAGATGCCGACGCGGTCGTGTAGAAAGATCCTTACCCTTCAAGAGGCGGAGCACCGGGGATTCCACTTCCTCGTATCGGAACAAGGACAGCGTTCCTCTCCTCGGTGAGACAAACCCATTGGTCGATCATCCAGCTCTCCCGCTCTTTATCGCTCGCTGATTTGTCTGCAGATGAAACATACTTCATAGTTATGCTTGAGGTTAGAGCGTGTCCCGATCAGAGACGAAAATATACCCTCAATTTTCTAAAGTTGTCGATGCTGAATCATCCTAGCTTGCTTTAAATTTGCATTGGGCAACCGACGAGGGACCAAAATCTTTTCCACAAGGGGTGGCAACACTCCTTGTTGCTTGATGCAACAGAAACAGTGCTAAATTCTTACTGCGTGCCTCGTTTGGTCTGAATAAAAAACTCGAATTTTTCTAAGCCAGCGCAGCAAGCTTGGAGAGGGTGGTAAGCGCCATCTAGCGCAGGAGGAACATGCGAAAGGAAGGAACACACTCCAGTCCACATTGTCCTTTTCTGATTTTTATTTCTCCCTCCACGCACATTGCCCCTACTGCCGACACCGACAAGCAGGCCAATTCTCTTCCTAATCTCTCCTCAAGCGTTACCTTGTTTGTCGATTAAGGAGTGTATTTGCTCGTCCAAATACTCTCGTCTTTTCATCAGAGAAGTGGACCACTTTTCACGCAGACTATGAAGAAAAATAAAGATCGAAAACTGATATAAAAGGAATACTGAAAATAGAGCAAAAAACATTTGAGTGGAATCTTTAAAGCACTTTAGGATTGAGGATAACTTTTCCAAGTGAACTATGTTTAATTTGCTTTCAATAAAAAAAAAAAACACTTACATAGCAAGATCTTTCTCTTGATAGCTGTCCAGCGGTTGTTGATTCTTGGTTCTCATACTAACACTTCCAATGTACACAGCGGAAATGATGTCACACACAACCGGAAGAGAACCGGCCCTCGGCACAGGCTGAACGCGCACAACAATTCGCCTCGAGTGGCCTTGACGAAGCTGGAATACTCCACCAGTTAGATTGTCTTTTTGAATGTGTAGTTCTACTGGTGCATAGACCCCTTGATCGTTAATTTCCAATATTTCCACCCAGAGCTGCATCTTTCGTAAAAGTTCTCCCCACCTGTGGGGTAAAGATATTACGTTACAAGCAAGACCAAGGAATTGTAGCTGTTGATGCCACGATCAAAATGTGAAGACGCCTCGCCTAATGGTCAGTGCGCTGGATCCTATGAACTAACATCCCATCCAAGGAAAGGAAACTGATTCCTTCACACTTGATGCTACAAATATTGGGATACAGTCCAGCTTCTAAATGACGATATGTCGTATGCAGACTTCGTTATTATTTACATAAATAACGAAGAGCTAGACAAGAACAAAAGAAAGAAAAGGGTCGTTGCAGATACCTGTCGTGAAGTCCTTTTTGCTGAGGTTCCACGTTCCAGTTTAGCATTACTTTACTTTGTGAATCAAATCCTTTCATTCGGTTTCCCCAGACTTCAATGGCCAGCGAGCCCTCTGATGCATACTCGACGAATTCGTCCGTAACTTCCATGTCAAATAACTGAAAATATTTAAACATATATTATATCAGTCATATTTTCCTCTCCGGATGAAAAATAATGACGTGTCGTTATTCCATTCTGATGAAACCGAGACAAACTCTTAGTTCGTATGGCTTAAAGAAATACAAAAGACCTTTACTAGCCAACAAAATAGAGAGGATTCCTTTTTGAAAATTACTGCCGCAAACGTCAAACTTGTCTTGAGCCAAACATGGAGCTTAAATTATATTTCACTTTTGCGCTCAGTTCCCTTGTTCCCCCGAAGCGTAAGTTGGACTACATATGTTCGCCGTCGAAATACACCACATTCAGTACGGCAAATGAAAAGTAAGCCTTATGCAAATGAGCATACCTGCTTATGCTCGAAAATCATCGTGTTTGTCTTTGGCCCCGGCTGAGAAATACTGGCATTGATCGGGGGTACCACAATGGTATTATCGTCATTCCAAAACTTGTACTGACAGAACACGTAATTGCACAGAGCTGGGGGCAGGTCATAAGCTTCAACAACCTTGACCTCTACATGCATCTGCGAGCCTTTGACCAGCTCATCATCGTCATCATCACCATTATCATCATGTATGACTAACAAATCGTCCTCTTCGTCGCTCGAGGTTTCTCCAGCATCACCTTCAGCCTCTCTAGACTTCTTCTTCTGAGCTTTCTCTGTTGTTGAAAACGTACAAGAAGAGATAGGTTAGTTGAACAGAAACCTTACCCCGTTTTAAACAAATTATACAATCACGCTCGGTGCAGATTTTACATGAAGCATGAAACATTTTGCTTGAAATTCTTGGATTCCAAACCGTTACAATGCGACACACAAGGAGAAAGTTCTCCACGACACATTATTACGAAAGCATATCTATCAGGGACGTTTCTGTGATTCATTTACACGACGCAATCGCACCCATGAATTTGAACCAGTTTGAATTTGGCGACGTAAAACGGGGAAAAAAAATCTTTCGCATGGACAACTACTCTCCGAGAAAATATATTCATGTCAAACGAAGTAAACAGTCGTAGTGACCTATTCTCGAATCGTTTCGCGGCGATATGTCGCGAACCTCCACGCGACCAAAGCACGTAACACAACAACACGCTTGTTCACAAAAATTCACGCTCATTTAAACGCTTTCGTAAATCATGTACCTGAAATCCTAGAAACCTCGACCTTCAGCCGGCCACAAACCTGAAATGAAAAGGAAGCAAAGCAAAGGTCACATACGTGTAAAATCATATCCATATCAGTAAGTTCTATTTAGCAATTTAGATGAAAAATTACGATTACGTCTCTCTAGAGTCGGGAGCTTCAGAGAGCACCAATAAAATGTCAGGAAAACCTGACGAAATATCCTGGCTTCGCCCAACAGCCAGATGGAGCTCCAATACGAAAACAGTACTGCTCAAATGGAAGAAGAGAGTTTAGATTCGAAACTTTCAAGAATCGAGGCTCGAGTTTCGATTTTCGCGAATCGAAAATCGAGACACCCTAAGAATCTTCCGAAGATCTCAATTCGCAGTTTCGAAGAAACAATTTAACTTTCTAGTGCAAAACAATAACGAAGGAAAAAGCCCTCTACGAGACCCTTCTTCATGACACTCTTGAAGCATGTCAATTGGATGGCCTTTATGCTCACCTCTCCTTGTTGACTGATGATCGGTGCTGCATACTCATGGTTCACATCGTGTAACAGACACTCAAGAAAAACGTTAGCTACACCGATCAGGGTGTGGCACTCCACCTCGAAAAACAGATCCAAGTTTTCATCCTGACAAAACAGAAATATGCTTTAAAATACGCTTTTCCATATCAAACCATTCCAACTGAGTTGAGATTTAAGTCAAACTTCAATAAGGGTTCATATTTTTTCCTTTTTCTGCAGGTTATTTATCTTTAGTCTCAGCAATTCACGAAGTAAGTCACTGAAAATTCACCTCAGTAAGCCAAACTTGTATTTACCGTTTCGGAGAAAGGAATATCGTCTTCAACACACTGATTGTAGAGATCTCTCATGTCGTAGATTTTGTTGGACAACTTCTCCAGGGACCAAACTGAAACAGAGAACATGATATAACAGTGTTATTAACCAATCTGACAAATTAAAAAAAACGAATAAAGGGGGTAGGTTTCTAAAGAAACTGTGGTACTACGTCGGTGGGAGAGTATAGCAGGTAATTTAGTGTTAACAACTGAGTTGGAAACGTAAATTGGCCACCGTAAAGAGTTTAAAGGCTGACGTTTCGAACGTTAGCCCTTCGATAATCGCTCTGAAAAAGGGCTAACGCTTGAAACGTACGCCTTTAAACTCTTTACGGTGGCCAAATTACGTTATTAACTCACTTGTTAACACTAAATTACTTGACAAAAAAAGTGGCGTTTAGCGAGGGCAATTTAGGTTAGAACAATGAACAGAAACTCACTCTGTGTCCCTTTCGACTTGTGTTTCACAACAATGGCAACTTCACTACTGAATCCAGGTCTGCTCCGGCCAAAACTTAAACTCGATGTTGGAATCTGATTAATAATCACATTTTCCTGATTAATCAACTGACAAGGGGAAACGCACATTTGAGAGGCTATTTCATGCAAAAGGTCAGTAAAACAAATTGAGATACTCGCTGCAAATAAAGCTATTTTGAAGTGAGTGTCGCAAGTAATTCTCGCTCGGTAATTTGTCTAGATGACTCGTCAAGATGCAATACTTCCAACAATCGCACTTGGATCACTCCCTTAAACCCACGCAAGTTTTCAATCTGTTTTCTCATTGGCTTGTGATATTTTCCTTTATTCTATTGGCCGTTACGGTCACGAGACCGCATCAAAATGCACTCTAGGAGTTTTGTGCTGGATAATGTTAGCAACCTTACGGGGCAGCACATGTCACATTTCAAACTACGCCTCATTAAACCACAGTTCTACCTAAATCTATCAATGTACCTGAAGCGTCACGGCAAATTCTGTTTCTTTACCCATCTCCTCACTCAACTGGTTGGCTTCCCTGACGAGAGTGTTGGCTTTGATCACTTCCTCTCTGAGCACCAAGGGTTTTCTTTCAAACTGAATCAGATTCTCCCTGCTGGTTAAAAAAATAACGAAGAAACAAAGCATTAGATTTTCAGTACCCAACCATAGCAATTACCCTCAGCTTTCAGAGCGCTTAATGACTCCAAGTGGCTGCCATGACGACTGACTCTGCTTGTAGTTGATATCTTGATACAGCACCAAATTCTCCCAGCAGATTTATGATGAAATGTATGGGAGCTATAAGAAAGAATTAATCACCTGTCATCACACCATGACATCCTTGATGATCCGTATCCCGAACTAAAAGAGCTGATGCTGAATGTACGCTCTCCCATACTCTGCCGCCCCATTGGAACCATTTGGTTACGTAATTCCTCAATCTTTTCTTCGTACATTTGACGTTGCCTGTCTAAGGCTCCTGAAAAGCATGAATTAAAGAAATCTGTCATGAAGAGTCCTAAACACTCCGCCATTCATTGGTTTCGCTTCACTGCGGTCTATGATTGGTCAAAATCCTTGCACCAATCACATTTAAAACTAAAACTAATTCCGACTTGATCACTTGAGTCTTACGCACGTCAGGCAGTATGCTTGTTTCAATCTAATTTAATGTTGAATGACTGCGAAATTTTCTTTTGTTAAGACGGTTCCCTGATAATTCTTTTGGCCGTCAATTAGAAAACTGTAAGAGGTTGTTGCGCCTCCCTCTTAAAATAAAGTTATTATTGTCATTGTTGGTTTTAGGTTTGCTACACTTCACGGAAAAGCGTTCTATTGAGTCAAAGGTTAAAACGTCTTACGTGCATTTGAGTATTTTATACTGCTTTCAAAAATCTCACCGCGATTTTTCTCTTTTTTTCACTTTACCTTGTTTTTCCGCTTTATATTGCTCTTCAAGAGCTTTGACAGATTCCTTGAGGGGCCCTGGCCAAGAAAATGAGGAAAAAAAACAGTGATATGGGATTTGATTTTAACACCATTACTGCGTTTTTTCTTTATTTAGACTACTAACCAATATCAACAGACACAGGCAGATACACAACATCCTACGTGGCTGCATGAGAGGTTTTGCGAGCGATTTGATGCGCTGAGCGGCACTGAACTACGCTGTCTTTGTTTTCAGCGTGCGCCCGAATAATTATATCATATCCATGGGTGTACAACGCAGTTGAAATCCACTCAGCAAGCGACTGAATGAGAGGTAACATTTAGAAATGTACTGGAAAAAAAATCAATGTGATGTACGTTTACCTGCGCTCATTTCATTCATCATCAACTCCGTCTGGGCAAATTGAAAATCAACCGTTTGTTCCACTTGCTGTTCACTTCCTGTTTGCCAAAGGGTTAAAAAGTATGTAGAGGTTATAAGTTGCCACATGGCCACTGAGGCACCTAACCCAGTAAGAGAGTGACCAAAGGAACAGGGACGAAGGTAGGAGAAGAAGAATAAACACTGAGGAATAATTTCAGCTCTACACACCTGGTAGACGGGGACAGTTTATTCTGAAGTAATGGTTGTTCCCCCACAGAATACGATCTCCATGTTTGAGCTGCGTCTTCTCTTCCACAAGTCTTCCGTTAACACACGTGCTACACACAGATAAAACAGTAGTAAGCTTAGCTTACAGCTGTACAATAAACATGGTAATATTTGATACTTTTTGAACCTCAGTTATAAGAAGTACAATGCACATACCCTGTTTTGGCTAGCGGTGTAACATACACTTCATTGCCCTCTATATCAAGCTGACAATGCTCCTGTAATATTCCAAGCCCGCCCAGTTGAATATCCTATGAAAAAAAAAATTATAAAAAAGTCACTAAGGGTAGTAAACTTTACTTTGAATGAAGTCTCCCTCTCCACTAAGGGTAACCGGTCAAGTCGCCCGAGAGTCATCACGCCCGAAGCCTAAGTCATGTTGCCAGAAATTTCAGTTATGTCGCCCGAAACAAAAAAAGTCAAGTCGCCCGAAGAAACAAATATTAAAAAGATATGAATTTCAGACTGTTAATAGGCAATAACGTTGAGAAATTTTTATCACTAAAGCGCTCTTTGTTTCCGACAACACCATGAAGATTCTTAAAGTGTTGTTCGTTCCTAACAACAAAGGGAAACGTTGTTCGTTTCCAACAACAAAATGAAGCGTTGTTCGTTTGGTATGTGATCGTTTCTTACTCACAGACGTTTCGTAAGCTTAAGGAACTTTTTCTTGGTTTCTAACAATACCATGAAGACTTTGACTACGCAGAAATCGATCGTAAGCTCGGAATTGAAATATGTTTGAGCAACGATTCTAAAAGCGTTGTTCGTTTCTAACAACAAAGGGAATCGTTCTCCGTTTCTAATTTTCTGATCTGTTCGTGACTTTCTTAACAATAACAGATGAAAACACCTGGTAAACGAATGTCGATTGTCGCGTTCGACAAGTCGGTAAAAGGTAAAGCGTGTAACAAAAATAAAGTTATGTTGTGTTTTATGTAAACTTCGTAACATTAAAAATTAACTTGTTGCCTTGCGTAAGGTAAGCGTGATACTTTTAGGATAACAGTCTATTGTTTATGCTTGACTTTTTTCACAGTAGTAGTCAGATAGCATCATTTCCCTTTGGATCAGAACTGGCAGAAATTATGTAGTTGTGCTCTGTTTCCTCTGGTCATGTATATTTTGATCCGATCAAAGTATATATGAAGAGGGTAAAGCTAGCTACAATAAGAATACGAACTGATCAAAATGAGCATTCATCCTTGCATTGAGTGTGATGATGACGTTAAACCACGCCAACAAGCTCTATAGTGCGACGATTACAGCCGATCATATGGCCTTTCTGACCATATGATCGATTTCTGTGTAGTCAAAGTCTTCATGGCTTTGTTAGAAACCAAGAAAAAGTTTCTCAAGCATCTGAAATGTCCGTGAGTAAGAAACGAGTACATACCAAGCGAACTACGCTTCATTTTTTTGTTACAAACGGAGAACGATTCCCTTTGTTGTTAGAAACGAACAACGCTTTTAGAATCGTTGCTCAAACATATTTCAATTCCGAGCATACGATCGATTTCTGCGTAGTCAAAGTCTTCATGGTATTGTTAGAAACCAAGAAAAAGTTCCATAAGCTTACGAAACGTCCGTGAGTAAGAAACGATTACATACCAAACGAACAACGCTTCATTTTGTTGTTGGAAACGAACAACGTTTCCCTTTGTTGTTAGGAACGAACAACACTTTAAGAATCTTCATGGTGTTGTCGGAAACAAAGAGCGCTTTAGTGATAAAAATTTCTCAACGTTATTGCCTTTTAACAGTCTGAAATTCATATCTTTTTAATATTTGTTTCTTCGGGCGACTTGACTTTTTTTGTTTCGGGCGACATAACTGAAATTTAGGGCAACATGACTCAGGTTTCGGGCGACTCGACTGTAAAACCTACTAAGACAGTCCAGTAGAAACTTCTGTCTACAGTATCTCTTCAACCCTCATTAGAATCATTTAGAAACATCTTTGTAAGCCCTTTAGGAACCTTAAGGTAGCGTCCAGAAACCCTCTTCAGAAATCAGAAATTGTAACAAAGACCAGATTAAGAAATCTTTCAGAAACCCTTCCAAAATCGTTCCGAACCCGTTTCGAACTTTACAAAATTTCTCAGCCTCTGGAACTCAGAAAGATTTTTCTGGGTAATTTTCACATCATGCCCAAGTTCCACCCTGGTTGCTATCTTTGATAAGTCACTTTCTTCTATATTGGAACATATGATCAATTTTCATACTCACTGGGGCATGTGTGGCATCGGGTCTTCCAACAATAGTATGTTCCTGCGAGAAAATTAAATTTTGCACAAATGAATAACGGTAAAATAATTTGATAAAAATCATCATATTTATTACAAAGCTCATGCTCCTGGGCCAGGGTCAGCTTAGGTGCACATTTCAACAATGGGCTTAACCCTTTAAATCCCACGAGTGACCAAGACAGAATTTCTCCTTACAATATCAATACAATATCAACCAGATAAGTGATGAGAATAAAGAAATATATAAACTTGGGTATAATAAGTTGATCCAATACTAAATTCTCTTTGGAAATAAATTTTTACAACTTGTGGCATCCATAGGACAACAACAGCATACAGGTGACATAAACTCATGAAAATTCTTATCTACATGTACTGGGAATTTACATTTTGCTTCTGTATAATACTTTATATGATAAGAAGAAGCAGGATCTTGTGTAAACACTAGCCACAGCACACTGTACTTTAAAAACAAAAGTTTTCAACTGCTAATTACAACATTCTTGTAAAGATCGTATGGTATCCATAGAAAAGGGCATGACTACCATTCTTATCTGCTGATAAGTTCCTTTTATCACCTTTAAATAGTAAACAAGCAGTTCATTCATCGACGGATCAGCATTCAAATTGACCAGATAGAACTTGGACTTTTCCACTGCAATTCCTGATGATTGCACTGAGATTCCCATCTCTTCAAGAGCCTTGTGTCTTTCCTGAGTTCAACAATGTAAAGAAAACCTTAAAGAATTCTGCAATTTTTTGAGTGAGTTTTGCTCAAGGGGAACTTACTTTGTATATGGTTAAGTGAAATTAAAACATTCATTTAATATGTTGAAAATAGAAATACTATTTCACTTTGAAGTTGTTTCACCAAATGACTTTAAGAGAACAAAATAAACATGAGCCTCTACTGATGACAACTCTCACTTTGGTAAATATTAAAGGGGCACTGTATCTAGAGGGTAGGGTGTCCCTTTGGTCAGGGTGGGGCTGCTTCCCTTTCGTACGTCTAAGCCAAAGGGACAAGGGAAATTTATATGAAAGGGAAAAAAATGGTCTAAAGAGATGTGCATACAACCAAGGAGTTTCTATGGCAGCTACTCAACTCACAGTTTTTAAACAACATTTTTATGCTATCAATTTTCATGAATGTACCTGCTGAATTTTTTCTGTCTGTTTCTCCTTCTGTTCCCATGTCATTGTACACTCACTCATCAGCTTCTCACTCTCAGACAACATTTCTTTAATCTCAATGGTGGTCTCTCCAGGTTCAACAATGTGCGACTTCCCAGCAATTTTAGCTGCAAGCATTCTCTTAAGACGGTCAACTTCCTCGCGCAATTCACGGATAATCTGTCAAAATTGCATGAAAAATCACCATCAGAAAAGGATTAAGTAGTTTAAATTTCCAACTTGTTTTGCTACTCCACCTGGATGAGATGCTTGCCTGTCACCCTCTCCCACCCCCCCCCTGCATTTCAAGTTTCCCTGACACTCATGGGTAGAGAAAGGCAATGTAGTAGCTAAGTATCCTGTTCACAAACACCACACAGATATCCCAGCCAGAGTTTTCGCCCCAGTTTTAATTTAGAGTCCTAGGTCAAATCAAGCCAAATTCAAATTTCACACCAGATCTAAGGGAGAAATTTAAGAAAAAAAATACAAATTAAAGGAAGTCATAATACCTTTGCATTTGGATCTTCATTCACCACAGCATGGTTAACAATACGTTTTGCTCTGTCAGCATATCTTAATGTAGAGAGGGTCTCCTCATAATTATCTGCAGCAGGACTTACTGTGGCCACCATCACTGTCTTACTATTGCCACCAAGGTTGTCCTAATATTAGCAAAACATAAGAGCTTCTTCAGAATGGCCACAGAGGGATTTAAGAAAAAGCCTGATTTAACAACCTTGATTTGTTCATTTTTCTGAATTTCAAATCTCAATATTTACCCATAGTGCAGATCAAAAAATTACATATTTTGGATCAAATACATTTACACACAGTGTATCTCCTAGACTTGAGAGAAGAAATCAGAAAATTGGCTTCTTTTTTCACGCATCCATTTGATCATTCATACAGAACTCACAGTTCAATGGAACTCAGTAATTTTCCTTTTTAATAAAACCACATTCATCTCTTCATGTATTCTAAAACAAGCACTGTGTATTGAGACCTTTATCATTTCCCCTTAGCTATGTCTTTGTTGCTGTTGTTGTTTGCTTGTTTGTTGTTTTCCTTACCTTTAATAGCCAAGTGAGAACTGAATCTCTGTATGGCACATGAAGAGCCTTCTTTCCTTTACCTCCAGACTAAAAAGAAGTAAAAAAAATGTCTTAAAGAGTTTCATATGTCTTGCAGCATCTAGAGTAGCTGAATTTCAGAAGAATACATCTGAACAGTGTAAAACATTGAAACAACTGTTTTCTGAGACAGACAGAATTAAATTTGACCAATCTGGAATACCTCAGCGAGACTTGAAATAACTTGACCCAGAGTAACCAGGGATCTGAAACAAAATTGATAAAACTTATCAACCACAGTCAACAGCTTCACTGCACTACAGCACCATGTAGCTATCATGAACAAACACAGAGGGGCACAAATTGAGAGGCCCAAAGTAGAAGGTACCTGTTGATGTTACTGCCCTCTTTAAGTCTCTCTCCCTCAGCCCCACTCTTACTGGCCCTTTCACTGCCTGCCAAGTCTACAAGACTTAGTTTGCTCACTTTTTCACCAATAGACTGTAAAACATCAAAGTTATGTTAATTACTATGGATCTGGGATCTTGAATGAGTTAGTTTATAGAAATGGTCAAAAATACACAAAATTCAAAGAAATGGATAACTAGATTCTTCATCAAAATTAAACATTTCAGGTTAAAGTTTTTGTTACAATTTAACCCTTTAACTCCCATGAGTGACCAAGATAGAATTTCTCCTTACAATATTAATACAATATTAAGTGATGAGAATAAAGAAAAATATCAATTGGGGGATTGTAAGTTGATCCAATACCAAATTCTCCAATTAAACATAACAAGAACTGTATGGCAGACAGTTGGGAGAATTACTAATGAGATCTTGGGAGTTAAAGGGTTATTAATATATACCTCTGTTTCTTTATCGTACTCGGATCTTGTGAGCACAATGTTGAACACTGCATGTGATCTGCTGCTCTCTGTGTTCATGTTGGTAGCAGCAACAGTTCTGGACTTGTTTCCTTCAATCATTAGATTCTCAATATCCTGAAGGATAACATAACTCCATGCTAAGACTAATTTATTATCTTTGAGAATTCAAGATAATTCATAATTCTTACTCATCTAGATTTTACAGGAATGTTATTTGTGCTGTACTAAAACTTACCTTGAAGGATGACACAACAAGCTTTGTGAGTCCTTCAACATACGGCCCTAAAATCTTGTGTTCTCGCACTCTTAGTGTTGCTTGGTTTCTAAACAAAAAATATCTTACATTATTTAATGCCAAATTAAAAATGCATCACTAGATTTATTATGAAATATCATCTGTATTTATGTGATCCAGAAAAAAAAGGCAAATTCCTTCTTTTCTCTTGGTTAACATGTATTCAAAACTTGTGCATGAACTGGGATCAGGAACCTCTATGCTACCCTCAATAAAAGAAGCAAAATCTAAAAAGGTATGTTGCAACTTATACAAATGTAGATCTCATCAAAAAAGGTAAATTCCTACTCTGCTTTCAGTTTGCATGTATTCTAAAACTTGTGCATGAAAAAGGATCAGGAACCCCTATGCTACCCTAAATAAAAGAGGCAAAATCTATACAGGTATGTTCCGACTTGTACAAACATAGATATCATTGACATACCCTCTAGGGCACAACAAATCTCTGACTTTCTCATTGTAGATCTCAATATAGGAGACTTCCACTTTGTATGTGATGTTCTCATCTTCATTCTGAGGGAAAGATTGTAGTGACATATGTTAGTTAGTAAATGTGAAATGTTTGATAAATAGATAAATAGTTTGTTGAACACATTTTTGTTCATTCCATCTCGATGCCCAACTTCCACTTATTTATGGCAAGTTCAACTTACACTTGAAATCCGATCAAACAGTTCATTACACAGTCTGGGAATCAGGCCTGTCTGGTTCTGGCTTCCCATCATGGTGTATGTCTTTCCCGATCCTAAAAACAAGGAAGGAATGATGTCAGTTACATGAGTGAAGAACCCAGATAGCACACCATTGCCACAACTTACATGTATCACTGTTTCTGTAGCATAAAGGGGAGAGGAGCATTGTTACTCCTCTTTCCCACATGCCCCCCTCCTCCTTCCCACATGTCCCCCTCCTCCTTTCCCCATGCCCCCCTCCTCCTCCCAGCATGCCTCCCTCCTATGGCTCTGTCATACATTCCTGACACTTTGTTGGTATCAATGGTCCTGGTCAGTTCTTAAGCTCAGATCTCGTTATGAAGTCCAATGTAATCACAAAGAACTAACGTAGTAGAAAAAGAATTAGAGGAAGAAAAGACAAGCATGAGAAGCTGCCTTGTAAATCACAGCTGATGCATTCTCTTTTTACCTGTTTGTCCATAAGCAAAAATACAGGCATTGTAGCCCTCAAAGGAATTCTCCAAAACATCTGCACCAAGACACTTGTAAACTTTTTCTTGGCCTGATAAATGAAACAGAAACAGAAAAATCATCAGTGCATCACTATTAACAAACTTCCAACTTTACAAGAACAGGTTGTAAAACAGTGACATTTTGACTCACAGCATACACCTTGGAGACTAACTTTTACTTGCTCTTTTGATTAATGGTTGACAATTTTAAATGAAAGGAAAAGGTCGATGTTAACATGTACGTCTGCAATGCGCTAAATGAAGAGTAAACAATGAAAACTCAGCCAACTTACTTTAAGCCGTTTATACATCAAGTAATATTATTATATTTTGAGGTGTTTTTGGTGACAGAAAAGAAATTCATTATAAAGATAAGCAAAAAATCCTAGTGCGGTAAGAATCTTAAAAAGACAATATCCACTTGAGTGACAGAACACAATCCATTAAAAATAAAAGGATTAAACCATAAGCCAGAAAGATGACTGTCAATGGGAAAGATTAACAGGCATTGTAAACACCAAACTTGAAATATTTATACTCAATTTTTTCAAGATATACAATCTGTGAAGTACAGTACTGCTCACATATATGTTAATCAAAAAACACATAGAAAATGCCAAAAAATTGCATGCAAGTGTGATTAAAAAAAAGTGTAAGTTAAAAAATTGCATGTGCATGCATTGACTTGACACATCTGCATTAGTATGTATAAGGTAGACCTTTTGTTTTCCTATTGTTGGTGATTTATCATTTTAAAGAATAGGTTACAATAGAATAGCACAAAAATACTACATGGCTACCAACAACAAGTAAACTTATTTGTATCAATCACTGTTTGAACTGACCTTCCCAATATGCTGTTGTATACTAATGCAACTCCATAATTGGAATATATAAATTATTTCTCATTTTCCGACAAAATTCTTCTATAAAATAGCTATTTCTTATGTAGATCAGATTGTTTCAATTGGATTACCAATAAACACCTTCCAATTTGCATATCCAGTGAATCATAACAAGAGAAAAGAGTAGAAAGACACTCATTAAGTTTGGATAATGGAAAATTCTCAAATTTTCTATCCAAATTTCAACATGCAGGACTACTTTTTCTACAGAAATGGGGGATGTTCTTCTGCTACTATCCACTACTTCCCTGTTATGACATTCTGTAATGAAAGCCCAAAATAAATAGTATGTTCATCAGGAATTGAGCAATTTCCTACAATTCATCATTTCCCTATACAATTTAACATGTAAGGCATGCTTCAGAAAATGAGAGTAACAAAATGGTGTAACTAAATTCAGATTAAACAGCTAAGAATATATGAAAGTCATATATTTGAACAGCGGATAAAGACGTGAAAGAAAGTGATCCTCGCAGTAATGTGCACTACTTAAGCAGTAGTGAAAATAAGGCCTGAAAAAAATTCAGGCCTGTACAGGATTCGAACCCATGCCCTCTGCGATACCAGTGCAGGGCTCTACCAACTGAGCTAACAAGCCAACTGGGAGCTGGTCATTACGTTGGTTCCAAATAAACCCGTGAAGTGATGAATAAATGGCTAAGAATATATAAAAGCCATATATTTGAACTGCGGATAAAGATGTGCTGTGAACTGCTCATGTAGTGCTCATCACTGCAAGGATCACTTTCATTCATGCCTTAATTCAGATTCCCAAAAAAAGTCAAAATCTAAATTAATGTAGGTGGGGCAAGGTTAGAAACTGGAAGAATACAGCTGCTTTTCCCACTTGCCTTGTCCAGGAAATTCAAGGCAGGAAGTTCTTCATTTGAAATAGCTTTGATTTCAATACTGAACTGCCAATTTTCCAACCTTCACACCACTTATTTAAAAAGTTACTAAATAAACTTATGATAAATTTTAAGAGCAATTCTCATGTTTTACCTTAAACAGAATTAAAATCAATGCATGTAAAGTACAGCATTAAAACAAGGACTTGGAAGAAAACATGAACATTTCAGAACAATATAAAACACTACAAACACACACCAACAGACAAGTTAACTTCACAGAACAGCAAAATAGCCATTGTCACATCAATGACTTCAAGTTTTTTTCCATTGTTTGATCTTTCCTTATTGATTTTTAACTATGACCTTCCTTAGCCCTTGTAAGAAACATTGAGACGTCCCACGCAAGAACAATTATGTAATGAGATATGTGGTTTTGTTTGTACAGTGCAGAAGTGATTTTGTTGATTGACAGACACGTGAGCCAAGTAATATAAGTAGTACCTTTTCGAAGCGAAGACGAGTGGTTATGCGAAGTTACGAAGTTTAGGTTTTTATGATACGAATTAGATGTTGTTGTAGTAAGTACGAATCAATAAAGGGAATCAAGAAATTACGTCTCGAAGTTTACAATAGCCCTTTTGATACAGTTTCTTATAACTAATCACCAACTAAAGGTCTTGATTGTTACACAAATTCTCCCTGTCAGCACCTTGGGAAATGTAGAGAGAACAGTATGGAGAATATGCATACAGATATTAGGATGTAAAGGGTTAAAGGTAGGCATGAACTTACTTGCATATTTGTTGTTACTTTCTTCCATCGACCAAAAGCAGTGATCAAATGCAAAAGTCTTTTTAAAGAAAAAATTCAAAGAATGCCATTAATCAAAACAGTCATACCATTTCAAGAACACATATGCAAGGCAATGAAAAGATAACAAAACACTTTTCTTCATTAAAAAGGTCTGGAATATATGCTGCACTTATGAGGAATAAAAAAAGTGTTTTTCAAATGTGACAAACATGTACAAGGAGTTAAGGAAACTTGAACATTAGGTCCCAGAAAATCACCCCTTAAGAAATTTTAATAAAAAAAATGATATGAAAAAAACATCTTTAAAAACAATGTTTTAAAACAATGTTTAGACACATATTTTCTCATATCAAATTCACCCTGCCCTTAAATTTACAAAAATTAAATCTAAACAGAATGCATTTAAGGATAAATAACAAAATTTTTAGAGATCTTTTAATAACATTTACAAACTTATATTCTGTCAGGATTGATTTAATATTCCCTCTAAGAGTGACAAATTAAAAACTTTGTTAAATCATACACATATTTTTAATTTTCATTAATGCATTGATGCCATTTTTGCTCAGTACAGAGGTATCACTTTTTCATACGTGCTTGTAATAACATTTCCACACTTTATCAATCTGGCAAATTATTTTAAATTTTAATCTTATTTTTTTATCTTTTCTCTTGTGATAAACAAGAGGATTAAATTGGAGACAGAGTAAAAAATCTTTTTGTATAAAAATTATTCACAAAGCTTGGACAAAATATCAAAATAAGTTTAAAATGCATAAAAGGAAGGAAGGTGCGTGGACAGAGGCTAAATACTTGTTTCCGCTGTAACTAAACTGCAAATTATTATGACCCTGGTTAAACATACCTTTGTGTTCTTCCTGTCTCCAGAAAAAATCCAAGAATAATGTGAATAAAAAGAAAAACCGAAATCAGTAACTAGAATTGAGCTTTCATGTTACATATTGATTAAAATTACGTCTAGGTACATGGAATGATCAAAACTTCTAGAATTGCCTGAAGGAAAACCGATTACTCGAACAGAATGACAAGCATTTATTTGGCACACTTCGAATCAAATCATCAACACTCGACACAAATATCTCGAGTGGAAGTTAATTCTTGACTCTGCAAATCATTGCTCGTCTTGTGTTTACATTTCTAGTAATTTTAAGCCCATTTTGTTTACAGGTCTTTTTGAAAGCAATCAACCGGCTTGCCATTGTTTACAACGAAGACTAAGTGGGCAGAGAAAGATTCTCGAACGACTCATCATCACCAATTATTTCCGTTCCAATTAAAAAGCTATGGCCCCCTTCGAGCGATTTGTAGACTTCAATGTTGAAGACAGTTTGATAACGGAAACTATTTATTTCCTTTATAAAATGCTTCTGCCGACAGGAATATTGATCACTGAACAATAGCGTTCGCGAGCGTACTTTCATGTAAAAATGCGACAAATCTGTAAATCACAGCAAGACGAAAGCTAATCCAATGGTTTAAGACAGTGATTCTGTTGACGTCTGAAGATAATACCGCTTTCAACGAGAGCTACTTTTAACTTGCAGCGCTGAGTAGATTTTCAGTGTTAACCACGGCTTATTAAATCTTTAAAACAAGGCTGGAATTTGTGTTATATAATAATAGGGCAGAACACGTTACAATCACTGAAAAATCCTTTCGATCGGAAAGCGAGACATTGTCAAGTATTCTCTCACCTATAAACAGATGCAAGCTTGATACCGAAGATAAGAAAGCGGAGAAATATTCACCATTATAGCATAAGAAACCTCAATCATTAGCGTGGAAAGTGACAGCGGAAATAGAAGTCGTATCTCTTAAAATGTGTCTTTAATGGATCCTCAAAAAACAAGCACGAAAAAGGAAAAGATCACCATGAAACGAAGAAATGGGCAATGCACAAAACCTTACGTAACGGTGTTTGGTTAAGAATGCAAAATATCTTCAAAAAATCAATAATTTTAAAGCAATTATGATTCAAAACAAAAACCTGCGAGGAACCAACTACACGCGCGATTTCACCTCCAAATGACAGAAAATGATGATAAAGAAGCGATAAAACTGTAAATCTAGACATCCAGAATATTACTCTGGTGTCAGATCGATAACTTAAACACCTTGAATTCGTAAAAATTTACAAATAAAATGAAAATAAAAATACGAAGTGGCACGTTGTCCCCACATTCGAGCGTTCGCACAGACCTGTCTCTCGAGGCCGATGAAAACAATATCGTTTGCGTATCGTCCATATCTACCACGCATTTTGTTCCCAAATCGATCTCTGTCAAAGTAAAAGAAAATGAAATCAATCCACGCGATTACAACACGAAATCATAGCCGGCTATTCCACACGAAGAACTTCTAAGTACTACCAATTACCTCGCCGATTAAATGGCCTGACACGAACAGCCACCTTAACTTTAGAGCTCATTCTGGACTGATCGCAGTATTACCACACCATCGGCTTCCAGTTAAGAAGATTTGGGAACCTCACGACGCCATAAATTAAACCTTCCGCTTAATGTTTTTCATTCATTCTAAGACTGACAGGATATTTTCACTCTTAGTTTTCTACTCACACGCGGCGCCATATCTTTTCATAACTTATTCACGTTTCATCCGGGAACGAGGGTGACACGGCAATTGGTGTTCCGCCTTCCTTATATGGAAGTTGTCCAATCCGCGGAAAAGGCGCGAAAATACGATACCTGACAAATGCAACAAGTGTCAGAAAAAGTGTTTTGATGAAGTACCGCTTAGGAGATAATTTATTTGGTAAAAAAATATTGACCTTTCACACCTTTGAAACAAAATCCATTCAACACTCAAAAACATAAACAATATATCGAAATAATATCAATTTTTGTAGAGGTAGGGTGCAAAGGGAAAAGGGCGTGTGAAAATTATCAGGAGACAATATTATGCGATATTTTACTCCGAAAACCAAGTATAGTGTATGAGCGCCAGTCGGTATGAAACTGGTCGCGACGAAAAAGAAAAAATGAAAAGAACGGACAGTTTTATCTCTAGATGTAGATTCTTTGAGATAATTACTTGGAGTCGTCGATAAATTTTGGCTGTAAATTTATAGTAGCCCTCATAGATTGTGCTAACATAATTTGGTTAAACAGGAGCCCATTATGGGTTAATAAGTATAATTTTGCCTTTTTTATAAAAGTAGCTCTGCTAGCGTACTAACCATATTTTCCTTCTTTTTTTTTTAAAGGAAAGGTACCAGATTTATGATTTGCCTGTTCTCTAAGATTGTTATTTTCAAGCTCAGTCCATGGTTGGTCTATTTTCAATTTTTTGTAATGTCTTCCCGCTTCCACAGGCAACAATAATCATTACGGATAAAGATGGATGAATGTGGAGCGATAAAGCATATAAAGAACGATTTTCAGAGGTACGGCGTGGTTAGAATGTTTCAGAGGAGGGAGAGGACCACAATCACACTTTTATGCTCGCCTTCTGTAAAGTGGCCTATACCACTGCTCTTCTGTTGTGTAACAGCGGGCTTCTATTCACACGATTTATGCCGCGAGAGACATGAAACGAGCCATACGTTTTTCGCAAACCCGAATTAAAAGGTTTGTAGGTTGCTGACACATGAAAAGATTAACCCACAAAGTGGAAGGGGGTTGGGAACACTTCAGGAGCTCTCTAGTTAGGCCCCTTTCCCTTTTTTTCAATTTTTTTTGAGAAATAAGACGGTTAGATATATACCATGTATACCCCCGTCGAATTCATTTGTAAATTTGCCTCCGGGGAGTAGGCCCATATTTATTGCACTAGCATGATTTTTTTAAAACAAGCATAATTTTTGCACTTTTTACAAAAGTATAGCTGCTGGCATAATCTGAAAATTTCTATTTTTTTAAAAAGGAAATTTACAAGAGTCGTGACTTGCGTGGTCTCCTCGAATTATTATTTTTAAGAATACTAAAAGACAAAGAAGCATAATTTTCAACTGGACAAGCATGATTTTGAGCATGATTTAGAAGAAATCTGGTAATGCTTGTAGCATCAGATGTTTCTTCCATCAGCACATTCTTTAAGGGCTTTCCAGAGAGTGTGAGCGATTCGACCCATGTTTAGTCTCGTACCCAGACTTCTGACAAACACATACGTAGGATTTGGTTATAAAATGATCCTACCTCGGTCAAGAGAATATCAACTTTTAATATTCTCTTGACCCTGGGTAATGGGCTGATAGCGACTCTCCGTTTTAAGATTTCATGTGAATCGTGACAGCCACTGGAAGACCGGGAAAAGACAGTTTGCTTCAAACGATGTCAAATTTGCTGTTCAAACCCACGATGAGTGGTTGACTTCGCAGAACGAAGGACGCCGTCTTTTTTCATATTTTTCATCCATTTCCTCGTGGCTTATTTTACATTCGTTATTTCTTTTTTGGAAGACTCCGTTAGCTTGCCCATTTACTTGTGCAAATATGAAGAGTAACTGAACAGTGCAGAGTTCGCGGCAAATTTTTGTTATAGTCTTGAAGTTCCTTCCAGTGAAATCTGGAGTGCAGTTAGAATTAATCAACACCTACGCAGCTGGAATCGCGGAGGTCACACGAATGAGTTCTTTTTAAATTCTAATGGCATACGGTAATTAACGCTGGTCGTAGCTGTAAATTAGACTCGGGGAAATGCTAATCCATTCTCGATTACCAGCCACTGTTTCGGAAATGAGCCCGCGCACATAGATCGTAAACAGGAAATGCGTGAGCAGGGTAAATCGAGCTTAAGGTTAATTTCCCTGTTAAGAAAATTAACACGAACAGAGGGAAAAACAATCTTAAAGACGGGAGAGATTGATGCAATTAACACGAAATGTGGGGAAAACATCTGTGGGCAAAAGGAAGACATTCATTTTAAAGTAGTGAAATCCAAACTATAAAAGACTAATATCACTAATATCATTCATATAATGAATTTTTATTTCTTGGACGTAGTAAGCAACATATTAGAAAATTATACTAACAGATCTTTTGTGACAGGCTTATGCATGCTATTTCAACAATACTGATCATGTGAATGTGCACTTATCTTCGCAAAAAAATACAACAAATCTGATTGTCACATCGAGGGAATTGTTGTAAAAATCTTATATCCTATGAATAATTTTACCTCAAAACAAGTCAGTTTTAAAGACGCGAGTATATAATGAATGCCGCAGGTCACTGGGCTATCCCGTCCCAGCAACAGTGTCTGCCGGCCGTTAATTCTATAAGCACTATCACAATAAAAGGCTTATTTCCTATGAATTAGTTATTTTTTAACACATTTGACGCTTGTCACGGAAATTCCAATTTATTCCCCGAGATTCTGCTGCAGCACTCTTCCTTATCCAATTCTCACAGAAATGGATAATTTTACCGCAGCCTCTTTATATATATTGTTCCGAAATTTATTCCGTGTGCCTCTGCCACTCAGTAATGATGCTATCCCTTCTCTTTTTTCATGGTTTTGTATTTATCACTACTTCAAGTGTTTTGCTTAAAACTTTGGGCCCCTTTTAGTAGCGCAAGGTTCATGTCGATGAGTGTTTTCACATTACAGGGGTTATCTATGACTTTCAGCACACTCTCACATGGTCGAGGTTAGAAATTAAAACAAATCAAGTGACAATCTAAACACATAGCTTTTTGGTTATTGTAAAACGAGAGAGAGGTAAAGAAAAAAATCTGTAGACCTTGTGGCAGCGAGAAGAAGCTTTTGTGGTGTAAGATCTTTGGTGTCTTCCGCTTCAGCGATGTTGCTCCAACAGCAAGAAGCCAGTTTGTGATACGTGACTCTTGGTGCCTTCCGCTTCAGCGAGGTTGCTTCAACTAATCCCTCTTAACGTTTCAATTATATCATGAAATTGATCTACGTAGTCGGAGACGGATTAGGAACTCTTCTAAAGAATGATGACTATCTCAAGGGAAATATGTTTTAGCACATTTGTTCGTATGTCAGACATTCTTATTACGCAGTTGTATCAATGATATGTGGAATCTCAATGTTTGGCTTATTTTGTTTGCTTTCCTCTTTAAACATTACTTTAACAATCATATCCCATCTAGACGCGCAATGTCATATGAGTTTTAAATTATACTATAACTAAGGGAGATTTTTGTTAAAGCCTAATGAGCTTGTTGAAGTTCTTCTGTTCTGGTTATGTTAAAATTGTAAACAACGTGATGACATATACTATGATGGGCAAATATACAAAAAAAAAAAAATGCCACATATATATATATATATATATAATTAACTTTTTACTCGTTATTAATTATGTTGAAACATGATAGTCCAATAATAGAATTAGGGTTTGTTATATCTTCCCAATTTGGCTGAATAAGAAACAACGGACATCGTGACTAAACAGCAAGGTGTCCCAGGTTATGTTGCTTAATTAGATGGCCCGAGACGGTAACTGATCGATCGAAAACTGGACTACGCAATGAAAACACTAGATCATATCAAGGCTGGACCTTAACCCATCCCTTCAAAATTTGGCCTCAAGACCTCCTGATAAGGTGACGTCAAACTGCTTCAAAAAAATCTCTCATAATTCGCCAAATGACATGATAGTGTATCTACATTTTCAAAATTTTTTGAGTGAGGAATCGCTTGGATCTCCCTTAATTTATACAAGAATGAGCCTCCAACCATTTATGATACATCAATAGTGCAAACATATCCACTTCAAAATTCCCTTCAACTGGCATTGAACGGTCCATAAGCTTTTGAGAAGGCAAAAAACCAAAATAACGCCTAATATAGTCCTGAAAATGTAGCCTTCAGGGTAGTTATCTTATTTGGACTCCTTTTTAATCTTTGCCATCCTTCCCCATCCTTTTTCAGTCCAATTTGGCCTAATATTTCCTCTTACGAGTTTTTCCATCTTATCAATGTAATCTTTTGTTTTCATTATCAATCCGAGCTAATCTCCATCCTTAGCTGTCATTGTTTCCTATAGGTTTCCTCTTTCGAGCTTTTCTGTATTTCGCAGTTTATTTGGAGTAAAGGTTAGTTTTTCACATCGTAACAAACAAACAAACAAAAAAAAACCTTAAAATATCGTGTAATTATTTGTTTCTCGGTTTATGGTCACGTACTATCCAAGCGTAGGTGTGTAAAGGCGGGAAGTAGAGATATCGGTTTTCAGAGCAGAATAACAGATTTGATAACCACGTTTCTAAAGAATAACAGTCGATAAGTAGACAACTTGGCACTGGCGAGGAGGAAGAAGCATTTGGTTTTTATCTTTGGAGCTTTCATCATTGGTATCATGAGACAGGCACGGATGCTATAGTTAACTTGTTTAATTGAACAGAGCATAATGTAACGGAATTCTAGTAAAGAAAATAAAGACAAGAAACACCCAAAAAACGGAAGGACGTTTGTCTGTACCAAAGACTGTCAGTCAAATAAGCTTCGATCAATCAATTGCTTTCTTGATCGCCCATTCGGACTCCCCAGTTCTATATAAAACACGCTGTGCACCGTTGATTGGGTGAGCAGACGCAAGTAGTTTTGGCTCTACCCAAAAAATGGGAACTGTTGTTGAGGCTAAAGATGGAAGAGAAAGCCGACGCTCGTCGAGACTATCCCAAAAAGTAATGATTTTTGTGGTGGTGCTTGGGATTTGCGTTGGATTTTCCGTCTGTTTGGAGTTGTTGAGGGAAAGAGTAAGTGAACTAGAGGCTGATGTCACTCGATTGAGTGAAGTCGACAAGGACGGTCATGATCAAGGTAAAAACTTCGTTCGGTCTCAAAAAAATTGAAATCTCTTACCCAGTGGTATTAGGCATTCTCAAACTCTTGCATGTTTTACAAGACGTCTTCGAGGTTTTTACTAAATCAATAGATAAACTGACTATTAAGATTCTTGGTTTGGCTATGGGAATTTTCACAATGAATGCGTATTGCTTGTAATTACGTAATCTGTTTTTTTTGTTTTTTTGTTTTCTTTCTGTAAGGGCCTCCCTGTATAAGCCCCGCGGTTTCTGGAAGCTCCCTTGCCATCTATTAAAATACTGTTACTTAACAAGTCCTGTGAACGTACTTATTTGGTGATGCAAACCACTTTCTCTTTATAAAATAGATTTTAATTCTAATCCCTTATATGACCTGAATAGGAAAAGCTGCAAACGGGGCAATTAGTTTTGACACTATTATGGATCTTGAACAGTTGAACAAAGCGTATAGCTTCAAAAGCATTTTTCTCTTGGCCTCTTCCTAAACATTCTGTCGGGGAAAGCTCGATTTAGTGATCGCCTGGTTAAAACTAACGATTACGTATACAGCCCCCTTCACTTAGTCACCACTCAATAGTGCTAGGTCTAGGAAATAGAATGAATGCCCTCACGCCTCCTTTTTTTTGCCTGCCATTCACCAGTAAAAAAGTTTGTTTTTGACCAGATGTTTGCGTGAATCGTTCAGGTATTTGTTTTTTTTATTCTCGGAGGAGGAAAAAGTTCACTGTTTTGACGTTACCGGTAGAAATCTAAGAAGAAGCGACCCGCTGTGCAGAGCAGAATTCTTATCTGTGGCGATTATTTTCAAATGTCTTAAAAGTACCCAGAAATTTATCAGAAGTACCTATCAGGACAAGCTGTTAATCGATGCCATTCAGCGAAGTATCTGGTGGGGGGTATAGAAGGGGGGGTTGGGTCCTACACACGTTTCACGGACATCAAAAAGTAGAACTGACGCATCACGTAAAATCGGATAAACGACTATAAGGCTTAAAGCGAAAAACAAAAATTCACAGTTCACGGGGTTTTAATTCCGTATTTTCACTAGTCAGAAGAATTTACAAACAGTTATCCCGTTAAAAACATGAACCTCCACTCCCCCCCCCCCTTCAAATGTTACCAAGGGTAAAAATTCAGAGCCTGAGGGTAAAATTGGACAGTTACTCCTGTCTAATCCGTTTCATTTCTTACACACATCTTAACAGCTGGTGCCTCCGGTCAAAGAAATCGTCGAGATTCACCCATCCCTAACTTTGTTTCCTTGGACGATGTTCGTAGAGAAATTAAAGTGCGACTCAAATCGCTAACAGCATCGCAGCTGTGCTCACCTCAAGAGAAAATATGTGTACCAGGCCCCAGCGGTCCAAAAGGTGACATGGGATTCAGGGGACGACGTGGGAAAAAAGGTAAGTTTGGTAACGTTGTAATTAATTCATACTTCCATGTTTAAGACATGACAGACTTTTAAACCTTTGCCTCCTTCTGCATGAGGACAGTTTAACTTCGAGTTCTTTTCATTATTTCATGCATGAATTCTTTCATTGTAAATTGAGTTCATGCAGACTAAAAGGATTTTTAATCTTACACAGGAAACGCTGGGAACAAGGGGTACCAGGGTGACATAGGAATGAAAGGAATGAAAGGTACTCAGGGTTTACCAGGACCATATGGGTTGCATGGCGAGAAAGGTCGCCCAGGTGAACCAGGCCTGAGAGGAGAGAAAGGAACCAAGGGCGAACGTGGTACATGCAGAGGTATGGCCTCGTGTAATGGTTACCCTCCAATGCCTGGACCAAAAGGCGAACCTGGTCCTGAGGGACCCCGTGGATATAAAGGTGAACGAGGACTCGATGGGTTTGACGGTCCGAAAGGTAATGCTGGGCTGCCAGGACCCAAAGGTGACCAGGGTGACAATGGTGCATGTACAAGAGGGGCTGCATGCAAAGGGTTCAAAGGTGAACCTGGAAATCCAGGACCTAAAGGCCAACCGGGAATTGCAGGACCACAGGGCATCAGAGGTAATGATGGATACCCTGGGCTGAAAGGAGAAAATGGTGAAACTGGACAAAAAGGAGACAACGGAGTGTGCACCAGAGGTGCCAGGTGTATAGGGATCAAAGGTGACCCTGGAATGCCAGGACCAAAAGGAGAACCTGGAATCACAGGACCCCATGGCTACAAAGGAGAACAAGGCTATCCAGGAATTAAGGGCCTTAAAGGTGATACTGGGTTCACAGGACAGACAGGTGTTCCTGGTCTCCCTGGACCCCCTGGCTTTAAAGGTAATGCAGGGATCCCAGGATTTGATGGCCAAAAAGGTGAAACAGGGCAACCAGGAAGAAAAGGTGAACATGGACAAAAAGGAGAAAATGGATCATGCACAGGAGGTACCTCTTGTGTTGGTATTAAAGGTGAGCCTGGAATGCCTGGACGAGACGGAGTACCTGGTTATCGTGGATTAGATGGATTCCGAGGGCCACCTGGAATGAGAGGCACACCTGGAGAAGATGGACCTCCAGGACCGAAAGGTGAACCTGGTCAGAAAGGAGAAAGAGGACAACTGGAAGCAGTTTAGGGTGGATTGACGAAAAGGTGACCCTGGTGAGAAAGGAAGCAAAGGGAAGCTATACCTCATGACACCACAAACATTTTTTTTATTTCTAATATTCTTTAAGGTAACTACAGATGATTCCAATCTCTTAAGGTCAAAATGATTTTATGAAACAAATTGTGATCAGTTTTAACCCTAAATTGAATATAAGAAAACAGTGATAATTTTTTTTATTGTAAGGTATTCTATGGAGTCTTTTTCAGAATAAAAAAAAAGTACACGAAAAAATAAAATTGTATGGTGATGGTTCATCTTAATAATTGTTAATAACAGAATTACATGTGGGAAGGGATAAAGTCACTTTGCTTCCAATTCAGAAAAATTTTGGAATCTCTTTTTAATTATTCAAGGAGATTTTTACAACATTATGACTCACTTTTTGCCTACAACAAGAAGGAAATGTGCAGATTTTACTTTTCAAACTTTTATTTTTTTTTCTTGCTTTTTACATTGTTCCTATACTTTCCCTCTTTATACTTTTCTCTGCCTCTAGTGTCCAGGTTTCTCATGATGCTTGTGACCCGTTTAATGATCATTGTCATAAATAAAAGAGACGTCTGTTTCCATTAATATGATTGCTGCTGATGAACAAGCCTAATGCCACAGGATACCCAGTTAACTCGTAAAACTGACCAGTTCACAGATAAGATGATATGAACGGGCACATTGATTTAATAAAATGACCACACCTTTTTTACCACTTTAAGATCTTGAAATAAAATTATAAGAACACCTTATGCATAACATTTCAATCAAAGTAATCAACATGAGAACCAGAAATGAAAGCATTTTCTTTCAAAATTCTCACAAGTTTTTCTGCAGACTGATCTGAAGTTAGTGCTGTACTCTAGAGGAAAAAATATGGATGAAATGAATCACAAAATAACATGGCTAGAGAAGAGACCACAAGACTAACTCCAAAAGCATTGTTTGCTCTGATAGATTACAATAAGCAAATCACGATATTGAATACATTTTCGCTTTTTCTCAAATAAGCAGACACTTTAATAAGTGCCCCCCCCCCCAGAGTGCCCCCCTCCTCCCTCACTTTCTAAAATAGTATGGATACAAAGAAAACCTGTTCCTATTGGGAATTTGTTTATGACTGTCCAAGCTTCAACTACAATGGAGTCAATACAGGAGAATAGTTTCTTTCCATTCAGTCAAATCAAGTTATCCCTATGTCCATGTGCTTGCAGAGTTCCTTTGTAGGCATTATCTGTTCTTGTACTTTTGTCCTCTTGAAAAGCACTAATGTTGGCACATTAAAACAATAATTCTTTCAAATCAGTACTTACTTGCTCTTTACTGGTGTTAAACATATCAACAACTTCCTGATTCCCACATGTGGTGCATATCTCCTCGTACATATCTGTAAGCAGTGGCCCAGGGGCATAACTTAGCACATTAACATTGGGCTGAAAGAAAACATGGTGCATGAACACCAAAGGTCTTAGCAGCAAGGACTGTTGTGTGAAATGGCAAGATAATATTCTCTAAGGCCAGATAAAAAACATGTCAATCACATATTAAGGTCAAAAGAATAAGGAACATGATTGCCAACTAAAGAGGCTCTTGGTTGTTTAAGAAATTCTCCATGTCAGCACCTTAAGAAATTTCTAGAGAACAGTATAGAGAATATGCATACTGATGACATGGTGTAAAGGCTTTAAGGCTCACAGTGTTTTTGAGGTCTCCTTCCAAACATGCATAAAAAGGCACCATAAGGACAAAAAATAGATCATTCCCTTTTTTCTCAAGACATTAATGTGTGATTCAGGGGTAATATTGAAGGAGAAATTAGATGCTAATCACTCTTAGAGGTCAAAGGGTTGAAAGAATGGATCAATATTAGTATCTGGGCAACTGCCCACCTACCCCTCCCCTAACTCAGCAACAGTTAATTGACAACAAGGTTAATGTTGGGTTAGGGGAGGGGTAGGTGGGCAGTTGCCCAGATACTGATATGATCTGAAAGAATTAATGAATCATAGTGTAAAGTTAAGAACAACAACCACACCAAACCTTATTAATGCTTTCACTCCCAGATCAAATTTGTAATTCTCCTTACTGTCAACCATACAATTCTTATGATGTTAGTTCAGGGAATTTAATATTGGATCAACTAATTAACCCAAAATTGATATTTTTCTTTATTCCCTTCACTTATCTGGTTGATATTGTATTAATATTGTAAGGAGAAATTCTGTCTTGGTCACTCATGGGAGTTAAAGAGTTAAAGATAAATACCTCCTCTTTAGCCAGAACTTGACACATCATATCTCGAGCTGCTTTGCCAGTGCAATACAAAGAAAAATATGGAAAAGATTGTAGAGCCATGAGGGACGACACATTAACTACAGTACAGCAGGCATCCTTGAAGTAATGAAGAAACTTTCCACTGGAGAATTGAATATGTTAATTTAGTCAGTTAGTTACTTACTTACTATATAATTTTAAAAGGCTGTTCTACTCTCTGGAATCTCAAGCTCCAATGAAGAGTAAATTTTTAATAAATAATTTTAAAGAGCTGAGATAAAAATTACAATTTTTTTAACACACACTCCTCCTTTAACCATCCTTCTTCCCCTTGGGATTTTATGGTCACTCCAAGATTACATATCATGTTTAAAGTAATACTGTATTAGCTAAAATTGAGTTGAAATATTCTGACATAAAAGGTAGCTCCACCTAAGAAGGGGAATAATGTCAGGCAGGAACAAACTAGCAAAACAGATTTATTATTAGTATTATTATCATCATCATCATTATTATTATTATTACAGAGGTGTCATCTTACGTAAGAAATAAGGGAGAGTTTAGATTCAGGTTGAAGTAATCTGCCAGGGCATCAACCTTCTGGGAGACATCCTTGAAACATTTTGACACATCTCCAAGTGACCCTGCATTATTCAGGAGAAAGGCATGTGTAACTTTGGATGATTCAACCTGGAAGAGATTCATGGTAAAATAAGAGTTAGTGTATCCCTGTTTTCGTAGCATTATATTTTCACATTTACATTTTCACTTATTTCTTGAGAAACATTAATGCACATGGAGATACATGATACAAAGAAATGATCCTAGCAGGTGTAATTAACCCTTTAACTCCCAGATCAAACTTGTAATTCTCCTTTCTGTCAACCATACAACTCCTATAATGTTAGTTCAGAGAATTTAGTATTGGATCAACTAATTATCCCCAAATTGATATTTTTCTTCATTCTCATCTCTTATCTTATATTCTCATTACCTGTTTGTTATATGACGCATTTGTTTAAAGGGAGAAGTCACATGTCAATCAGTACTGAGAGTTAAACTCTATGTCACACAAGCTGACTAAATCAGCATACATAAAAAGGTGTATAATGCCGTTTATACCTTACACAATGCAGCTTTTATGGAATCCTCTAAGGTGCTCATCTCTCCAAGATCAGCAACCATAACATGAACTATTAAAGAAAATGTAGTCCAAGCATAGATAAACAACAGGCAACCACAAAAAAATCCATCACATGGTTTTATCATTGTTTCTAACATGATAAAAGGAAAACAAAACATAGCTTATTTAGTAACTCCCAGAAGTGATTAACATGGAACTTCTCCCTATCATATCCCTACATAATCCTGCAAACAGGTATTGAGAAAACTCCAACTTATCAGGTAAAGGTTGTTGTTATGATCTAACAATAAATTCTCAGAACTGATTTACAAGGAACAGTCTAGCAGCTAGAGGGGAGAATCAACAATCACATCTTGGGAGTTAAAGGAGTTAATCACCAGTTAATTAATCACCCATTGTGATACGGGGGTGGACGGCAGGAGGGGTTCACAGCTCTTCAGAGTAGCTTTCACATACTAGGATTGCGATATCATCTTCGATTCCTGCCAAAACATGTGTTAAAAGGGGAATTAGACTTGGATTTTTATCAAAGAAATTTATTGCAGGTCGAATTGTAATTGGCCATTCTTGTTTTTGCGAAGATGAGAAAACTGAAGAACGAGTAGGAAAATCCTCGAGCGAAGAACAAATTGGACTGGAAGAATTGTGAAATTAATGGACTCAGGTGTGATATCCAGGTCTGAGAATTGATATCAAACCAGTACCAAAGAGACCAAAGAGGTGGTGAGTGCCCTACAAACAGCACCTTCCCGGCTCCCTAAAAAGACTAAGTCAAGATGTCTTCGATGGATCTTGCCTAGATAGCTTTACCTTTCGCACTAACACAGACATCCACGATTCTTTTCTTTGTTTCTTCGAGCCCATCGCCGAAACGCGAGACGAGGATAAAATTTCCTTCGGTTCCAGAATCAGAGAATTGCCGTGCTAATGCGATTGCCGCAGATCTTCCAAACCCACGGCTAGCTCCAGTAATAAAACAGCAAGGCCTAGAACCACTACAAAACATAATTTTACAAAGAACACTGATACAAATACTCACTCAGAGTGTAGCAGAGGGTTTTTGCGTGGCACGTGGTGGCACTAAACTTTGCAGGATAACACGTGATTGAACCCAAATTATCCGCGTGACGCTGGACAGGAGATCACAACGTGGTGCGTGATTTTCTATTTTACAATCGCGTGACGCGTGATTTTCTATTTTACAATCGCGTGACGTGTGATTTACAGGGCTTCCTGATTAGATTTCCGTGATAAGTGAACGCTCTTTGACCTAGAAAATTACCAATCATTCAAAGTAATAGAGTCTTAGCGAAGATCAATAAACGTGGCAGCCGCAGCCTGCAGAGCGGGCGTAATCTTAGCGAGCGAGTGCTTAGTAACTTTTTAGCGACTAAATACAGGAATGGCTCCGACCTGTGATTGGATGATAAAAATAGTAAAAGTTAATAAGTTATGTCTTAACTCCTTGCTCGTGAGTATTGTTGACCGCGTGTCTCGAAGCGGAACAATCAAATACCAAAGTAAAAACACCGATGCGTTAAACAAGAAATGGCTACTTACATAACAAAGGGAAGGCAGAGTCTATCTTGTTCAGCGAGGTCGTTCAGCGATACTCCGGCGACGAAAAAGTCATCCGCTGGCAAAACTCATTCAGTCAGTTTAGGAGAACGACTAGAGACTGGAGCCATTCGTGTATTTCACCGCAGACAGGAATGGCTCCAACTCATGCGTACATTAATCTTTTTTTCGTTCCGGCTAAATAATTTATACACTGAGATAAAAACTGAAAGAGCGATTTATTAGGTTCTACTTATGTTAAAGTCTACAGTGCTTGTAAATGAAGCCCTCTTTTATTACTACAGGGCCATGTAGTTTCTAAGTTTTAAAATAATGCAGAACTGCGTGTCACGTTTGGAAAATCACGCAATGTTGCGTGACGCTGCGACCGATGTTTTTAATTTACAATATGCTCTGCTAGAGAAATATGGCTTGGCCGCAATCGAGGGAGTTTTTTTCGTGGAAAACTGATTTTCTAGGTTATTGTTCACATGAAAGACAAATCCATTCATCGGGCTCTTCGTTTTTTTTTGCACAACATCTAAAGGAAGAAAGTCGCGGATTAATTTTGCTTAGTAATTTCTAACAACTCCACTAGACCTAAAAAAGGAAAAAAACAAACCAAACCAAAAAATCGTCTTACCAGTCAAACCAGTTCCAGTAGCTCTCGCACTGAATCGTGTCGAAGTACCTCGTTGGTCCAGCCAAGCCCTTATGGTCATTGGCCCCCGGAATGGCCGCTAACAATGGCTTTTAACTATAGGCGTTTAGTGTTGACTTGTAAAACTTCCTGAAGAAGTTTACGACAGTTAAACGAAACGCGTCAGAGAATAAAGAAGTTTTGCAACTACTGTTCGCACAGCGCTGCTCACTAGTTTAGTTTAAATTTTTTCTAAATTTTTTTAAAAAAATTGTTTGAAAAATTATTTACAAAATGATTGAAAAAAAAATTAATAAACGTTTTAGTCGGAGCTATTCCTGTCAGCGGTGAAATACTGGTATGGCTCCAGTCTCTGGTCATCTGCCTGAACTGACTAAATGAGTTTAGTCAGCAGATGACTTTTTCATCGCCGGAATGTCGCTGAACGACCTCGCTGAACAAGAAAGGCTGCCTTCCCTTCGCTACGTAAGTAACCATTTCTTGTTTGACACATCGGTGTTTTCACTCGCATTGATATTTCATTGTTCCGCTTTGAGACACGCGGTTAACAATACAAACGAGCAAGGAGTTAACTTTTACTATTTTTATCATCTAATCACAGGTCGGAGCCATTCCTGTATTTAGTCGCTTGTTAGTAACTTCATGGCCGCCATCTTTGATTTTAATGACTGCGAAAGGATGGGGAGAGAAATAAATTGGTGCCAACGTCCACTCTAGCTCCAAATCAAACATGGCCGGTTAGATAAACGATAGCGAGCGTATAACGTTAGCTCGCACCAATAGGACGTCTGCACTGCAGGCGTGACACTGTTTTCTGATCTTTTCCAGGCCTGGATCTTTTCCATCCTTTGTTGACCTTTTCTTGACTTTTGATATCTTTGATCTCGTCATAGGTCGAAACAATCGCAACACAATAGGCGTAAGTTAATATTGTTAACTTTTGCTCAAGGACTATGACCTTCAGTGTTATTTTTGTGGTAGTGCGTCAAATCGTATACAGAAAGACCAGAAAGTGTCCGAATCCATCGAATGAAAGACCTGAAATAATGTCGACCCAAAGGACCCAACGGCAGAAATGGTAAAAGATGTTAGAGTTTTGGTGTCATTTTATGCCGCCTGAGGAGATGTTAATGTAAACAATGACCCAGTACACAAGGAAAAATTTTGTGTACCAGTTAGTGATACACAAATTTTTCTAAGGTCGTCAGAGAGACCTAAACGAATTCAAAAGCCACGTTATATCCTTTACTGAAATAAAGACAGTTGCCGTACAGAAGGGTATTGGGCAAAGCTTTTCCATAACTATTGCCCGTGTATAAAAAAATAGAAAAGGAGGCGTAGACTGATGTCTATTCAATTCGTACTCAAGACTCTTGCGGCCATGAGTGGCCCAAATTTTTTACGCGTCGAGTGATTGTTTTAAAAAATTATCCGTGATGCGTGATTTAATAGGAAAATACAGCGTGATGTGTGATTGGAACCCCTCCTTTGCCACCCTCCACTAAAGTTTCTCACGGCTGAATTTCCGTCAACTCGGCAGCCTCGCTTCCAGCTTACCTCGTCCCAGTACTTCCCAGTACTCTCTTAAGCAAGTAAGATAGGGCTATTGACTGAAGACTATAGACTGGAAAGCAGTATCATACTATCGTTTATGTGTACCGTTGCACTTATGTCCTCTCATTGCAGATATGTCCTCTGACGTAATGTGATAGAGTGGCCAATCATATCCTGTGATCTATCGAGCGACACGCGGCTTGGGACTGGTTAAGAGACTCCGTTGTAGTTATGTCTTCAAGCAAAAGTACTTATTCGAGGGGGTCGGGATAAGTGGAAAATTTAACCAGTATTTTCCGGTAACTGATCTCAGGAAAACATGCTGTTAGCATGATCACTGCGAACCGGATCATTGACCTCTCACATTATTTTCTTTGAAGTTCTATCGTTCCTTCGTTGGCGCCATGTGATCGCATCGTTGTTATAGCCTAAACGTGGAAGAATAACTTGCTACGTAAATAACAAAGCGACTTTCGACCAAAAGATGCGTTATTGTTCACGCTTTATTTGCAGTCTTGCTTTATTTACTGTCCTCATTGTTCGACTTGCGACTCCATTGACAACATTTTACACACAAGCTAAGACAAAAGCACAATGTGGCGTCATATCACAATTGTTTTATTTTGTTTAATAGTTGAAGATCATAGATTATGGTTCGTCGGCATGAAATTATATATTTTTGACGCTTCGCTGATCTGCTGGAGGTGAGATCGACTGAGAGGTCAAAGTTGTGATAATTTGTCTGCGTCGCGTCACGAAGTCTTCCTTGAATCACAGAAGTTTGGCCTTTGGTTGTTTATTTTAAATATTGTAGGTTTTGCTGTATCGCACTAAGCCCTCTGTAAAAATTTGAAGTAGTAGATTGTGATGTGATTTTATTGCGGTTCCGCTGATTTTAACTGTTTTTTTTTAGTACTGTTTCTAGATCATTGTTGGATTTATTGCACGTTTGGGTGGATTTGTCATAATTTACCCCGTTTATGACACAAATTCACACAATGATCCAATCGAAAATCGGGATAAAGTTGGCTATGGCAAGTCAGTAGGATATATTCCACCTAAAGAATGAATTTCACAGAACTTACCGCGTTTTTCTAGAATTCGCTGATCAAATGGAAAATCTGAGTAAAGATGGCATATGGGAACTTAGCGTGTTGGCCACTTGCGGATGAATTCGTAGAATTTATCCCATTTTTCTAGAATTCGTTGAAAAAATGGAAAATCGGGTTAAAGATTGGATATGGTAACTTGGGATCCTTTTTATTTGGAGGATGAATTCTCAGATTTTACCCCGTTTTTTGCCAAATTCACTGAAAAAAAAATGGAAATTCGGGGTAAAGATAGCATATGGGAACTTCGGGTATTATTCACTTGTAACATGAATGCTCAGAATTTACCCCGTTTTTCTCGAATTCACTGATCAAATGGTAAATCGGGGTAAAGATGGCATATTGGAACTTAACGTGTTAGCCACTTGCCGATGAATTCGCAGAATTAATCCCGTTTCTCTAGAATTCATTGAAAAAAATGGAGAATCGGGTTGAAGATTGGATACGGCAACTTGGGATCTATTCAATTTGGATGATGAATTCTTAGATTTTACCCTGTTTTTCTAGAATTTGTTGAAAAAAATGGAAAATCGGGGTAAAGATTTTTTTTTTAATCTGACTGTCACAATATTTTTATTTATTTTTTATTATTTTTTTTATTTTTTTTTTAATACAAAAACAACTATATTACTTTAATTACAGCTATATCACTTATATCACGGCTACAGAAAATAACTTACAGTACAGTTACATCTATAGCTACATTACTTACGTTTTTTTTGTTTTTACAAATACGTACGTTACAGTGCAATACAATATTTAAAACAATACTGGTTGAAGAGCGACTAAACAAATAACTATATATTAAAAGAAAAGAAAAAAAAAACAAAAAGCGTTTACAGCCAGAGTGCACTAATCACAATTTATAGAAAAGAAGGTAGTTTAAAAGAAAACAAAAAGTGCAGGAAAAAAGGATACAAACATCAAATTATATGTAAACAGAATTAAAGAAAACACTAAGTAAATGCGTGTTGTGCTTGTTTTAAGCATGGTTTTCTTTATAATAATGATTTATGCATTATAATGTGAGAAGAAGAGGGGGAAGTTTTTATTTCCGGAGAGATGTTGCGCATTCTGCATATCCATACAAAATATATAGCGACCAAAAAAAGGAAGTTTAGTTTC